ACATCCTTATGTTTTTAAGGACATAACTGATTTTCTGTATGCCAGTGCAGCCTAGCTAAGGCGCGCTTAGTGATGTTATTTCATTCGTTCAACTAATATTTTCTGTTGTGTTGCTCCTTTTTAGGTCCTAGCAGAAATTCAATGGTGAGCAAAATAAATATGGTTTCTGCTTTCATGGGCTTTACCTTAACAGCAATGGAAAGCTATTGGAGGGCTCTAATCAATGGAGTAATATGATACAGTTGAAATCCTAGAAAATGCTATGTGCTACAATGTGGGTTTTGAGGTGGAATAGGCAGAAGGTAGATATGTTCAGAGATTTAACATAGGTGGCTGCTGTGTGATCTGGCTGAGAGATGATACTGATCTGAGTGAAGGTAGTAGCTGTGGGAATGGGGAAACTGACAACAAAGAATATTTAGGAAATAGTAGTGCTTTGTAACTAATTGTATGAGAAAGAGAAGTAAAGTGATTATGCATCCCAGTTTGCTCCAGATAATTCCAACTTTTACTTTCCTTCAAAAGCACCCCAATTTGGATGATAAATGTTAATCCTAGAGATAAGGAAAGTGGAGGATTCAAGAATGATGCCTAGATTTCTGCCTTGAAGAATTGTATGGATAGTTTTTCCATTTCCTGAAAGGGGATACACTGGAAAAAGAACTGGCATGAGATAAGATTATGAGTTCAGGTTGGACATGTGTGCTTAAGGTGACTGTCATACACTGATGTGAAGACATACTAATTACATGACTCCATAGGTCAGGAATTCGGGTTGCAAACTTTGGTCAGAGATATATTGATTAGAGAGTGATCAGTTATCAGGATGGTAACTAAAGAGATGAAAATGGATAACATCACCAAGCCAGAAAGTAAGAAACACAGTGTCAAGAGGCCTAGGTCCCTGAGGAACTCAAAGGGACACCTATTTTTAAGGGATGAGCAAACAAAAATCTGGAAAGGAAAGACCAAGAGTCCTAAGAAAATTAGGAGATACCCAAGTTCATCAAAGTTCCAGGAAAAGGGTGTTGCAAGAAAGAGGGAGTAGACAGGAATGTCACATTCTATTAAGAGGTCACAAAAAATAAGACTAGAAAAGTACACATTGAATTCAGTAACTAGCAGGTCATTAGAGGCATTAGGTGGTTTAGTGTGGATGGGGGTCATAAGCCTGCTGGTAGGATTTTAAGGAATGATTGGGACATAAGTGTGAACAATTTCTCAGACCTATAACTGAGAAAGAAAGCACTGATGAAATACCAGGAGGATTTGCAGAATTTGAGTGACAGTAATATCTCTGAAGACACCATAAGATTACTTAATACATTGTACTTAAAGCCTTCCATATCTAATGTCCATTATGAAACTAGAAGATGAATTTGTCTAATCACAGCTATTAAAACAGTTTTAGGTGAATTTGTGTAACTTTAAAGCTATGTCATTTTTAAGTAGTGGGAGCAAGGACACAATTGATGAAGGCACTTTAGCTATTTTTGCCCCCCCAAAATGCATCCTAGAAATGTGCTCAATAAAAATATAATTGTGCCTTAGTTTTTTTGGGGTTTTTTTCTCACTGTACAAAGAATTATGCTGCACTTGGCTTCTGAACACTGGGGATTCCTTAAATGTTCTTTGTCGATAAAAAAGGAAAGATTTATGTCCAAGGAAAGTGTTTCTGAAAAAGGTGCTCCACATTGTCTTTGTGTATGTGCATAAATTATAAATAGGACTCAGGGGTGCTGCCACCATAATAGCTTTTTGCTCTCTTTGAAGAAAATAGAAAATGCTCACTTAGGGGCTACTGCTTGTATTTTCTTTAATGAATCTTCTAAGCTTGAATGATTTTAAATAGGCTATTTATGTTCTTTGGTTATAGCAGGCCAAGAACTTTAAAAGATACATGTGATGAAAGTATCCAAACTAATAAATCTATACAGACACATTTCATGGTAGTGATAGTAATGATAATACATGCCACAGCTAGTGACTTTAAGGAGAATTCACAATCAAGGAAAACAACCCACAAATCACATGTATTTGGAGAATTTTATTAGACTTTTATACTTAAGTTTAATCATTATGTTGTAGATTAATGAACAATTCTTGGCACAGAATTATTATCACAGACAGGCATCCTTACCCAACTTGAATAAATAATTTAATGGGCATTTTTTTCTTTATTAACCATTTGGTAAATGTGAATTGAAGTCTTGTCTTATAAAGACATATAGACTATGACTTTAAAGTAATGTCTCTGATTTGCGTAATAGATTATGAAAGTCTCAATGCTTTGTATTCTTAGTACACCTGCAAGCATTTTAGTATGAATCTGTGTTTAAAAAAAAAAAAAAAAAAAAAGAAAGAAAAAATTTACTTTCAGATTTGTCTTTTTATTTCTGGAAATGTGCTTACATGAATTCATTAACCTATCTATATTACTTATAGATAGGTTATAGAGGTTATAGATGGGTTATAGATAAACTTATAGAGACCCTAAAAATTTCTTAATCCCCTGACTTTGAAATTGTTTAACCATCACCCTTATGTCAGTTTTGTTATTTTATTGCTAAACCTAGATAGTATTAAAGCTGCTGTTCTTACTTCATGATTATGTTTTATATTTGCACCATCATATATAATATATTTGTACCTATATACATTATCTGCATCTGGTGGGGATTAGCAGCCCTGAAGATTTTTGTAAAATGTAGTATATGCTACATATAGTATAATATATTTAGAAAATTATACCATAAAAGCATATATCTTATTTAATTAAAATGTTATGGAACATACTGGCTTCGTGAAGCAAGAACTGTTCTTCCAGATAATTTTTAGAAACATTTAATTCTATAACTCAGATATGTCAGAAAATCACTAAGGGATCATTATCATTACCCTCTGAAAGCCAAGTATAACATAGAACCTGAAGAAAATAGGCTTTAATTAGTGGATAATGATGATTTGTTGCATGTACTAAAGTTTTTCTAGGGATTTCTACATCAAACATTCTGTTTCTCTTCCTATTTGAAGTAGCATCTGTGCCAAACCAATCCTATTTGAGAGTTATAAGCAATGACTATGTTCCTTTTAGATTTTTACATTCAACTTTGTAATATATTCCACTTGTTTTCAATATGTACGTGTGTGTGTATGTATGTGTGTGTTCACATATACATATACATATATATGTGTATATACATATACACATATATATATATATATACACATATATATATATATATTTCTAAAGTTGCCATTGGAAAGGAAAAGATCTCTAACATATTTACATGTTTTGATAAATTGAACCATAAAATAGTTTGAAAGCATTAAGGTACCTCTTTTCATAATTATGAGGTTAGATATTCCCTACAGCTGGAATATATGGAAAGTGTCAAGTCAGAAAGGGAAACAAAAAAACTCCCTTAGTTTCTCAGAATATACCAGCCAAAGACTTGCTTTTTCTGTTTGAGAAAAATAGTTACCAAATCTAGTCCATGGGGAAGTTTTGTGCAATTGAGATAAGATAAATTAAGACAGCAATAGTGATATGTTTTACAAAGTTAACTGTTCTGACGCTTTTATTTGAACTATGTCTTTCTCACTGGTTTAGCTTTAAATTACTATTTTATATAATGATATTGACATTAGATATATTTACTCTTTCACATTTTTACTTTTGAGAATTGAATAGTTAACCTCAACAGTATCCTTTTGACAGAATCTGTGGCTGGTTGGAAAAGTAGAGCAGATACTTGGATGTATAGAACTATGGGTTGGGGGTAGATAAGCCAAGAGGAGAAGGTAAAGAAGAAAGGGTCAGAATGAAGAAAAATTGTTGATTTTTAAAAGCTAATTAACAAAATGTCCATTGGAAAGATATGAGGTTAAGTTTAGAGATTTCTTTGTGGTTCTGTTCATTTGACACCATCTCTTGACTCCAAGTGAAGGCGCTGTGATGGGTGTTTCAAGGCAGTTTTCCAAATGTGTCTAATCCTGAGAATCACCTGACTCTTGTTACACCAGTTTTTAGCAGTAGGAGCCATGGATCTGGAAACATTGAGAAATTCTGTCTTAAAAGACAGAAGATATATTTGATTTTTTCTTTGTTCTTGATCAATTTATCCTTATCTTTCTAAGCTTCAGTTCCTTTATCCTTTCTAAGGATAGTTCCTTCAAATTTTAGGTGATAATACTTTCCTTGTCAATTTTCAAGGTAAATGAGGTAAAAGAAAAATGTCTTCAGAGAGTTACTGGGGCTTGTAAATTAATTAAAGTTTATAATTTTAATTGTGTGTGTGTATGATGAGTAGTCAGATGATTTTGAGGAAGAAAGGAAGTTAGGGCATACAAAGAAGTTTTTTAAAATAATCATCTTCTCAAAGTTGTTTTCCAAGTTTATTATCTGGGTTTTAATTAAAAAATTTGAAATATTCCTTGATGTGTCTGTTTTCTTTGCTTATTATTTTCGTGCCAAATCAACTATTCATCTCAAATTTCATATAGTAAATCATGAACTCATGCCTCTAGCAGTTAGAGTAGGCATTTATTTAACCTAACCCTTTCTGTCCCAGACAAGTGCCATTGATACTGCCTTAAAGCACCAAGCACAGCACCTGGCATTTGAGTCAAGAAGCACTTGCTGCATTGACTGATAAATCTTGAAATCTGACCCCATCTCTTTCCAATCTCTAGAAAACTTTGTGTTCTGACTTTCAAGGACACTTGGAGAAAAGTAGCTCATCATTCTCTTTGATATTTATTTTGGAGGTTTGTTTTGTTTTTTATATTAACAAAACCTCCTGTCAGAAAGATTTTCCTTACCTCTACCCTAAGTCTCATATTGTAGTTTAGTCTCCTTCTTCAATGTATTTACATTGTGGGGTTATTTTTATTCATATGCAATAAACAAGTTATGTTTATTGGGAATAATTACTGGGAATTTTTTTTTCTGTGATCATTAGCTGCTTTCAGTAACTGATTTATTTTTATTTATTTAGCAGCAGCAACAGAAGAACCAGAAGTTATCCCAGATCCCGCCAAGCAGACAGACAGAGTGGTGAAAATAGCAGGAATTAGTGCTGGAATTTTGGTGTTCATCCTCCTTCTCCTAGTTGTCATATTAATTGTAAAAAAGAGGTAAGACCTAATATTGTCCTGTCCTGCTTACTTACCATTTGTATCTCTAGTTTTAAAACCCTGTTTTTCTCAAGATCCTTTAAATTAGAACAAACAAGAAGAAGAAAAATTTAATTTTAACATTTTCGACACCTGAGTCTATTGGATGTGCTTTCTAATAAATTCTTATTTGGTTATTTGCAGTTTAATTTTGGATATAAACATATGCTTTTTGTTAAGTTGACCTAGAAATTAATGTCCAAATTTAAATTTCTCAAATACAAAGGTACTTGAGATAATTTATCTTATATTTGAAGTGTAATTATTAACAATGGCAAAATATGGATTTATTGTGATACTTGGGCTGTGATCTATGAATTATTTTGTGCTCTTTCTCTGTATTTTTCTACATCATGGCTACAAATAAGATATGATAAGAATATAAACATTATTTAAATATTAAATATCCGTTGACTAAAAATTTTAGCCTTTTAAAATAGAGAGTAAATTGTTTTAATTGAACATTAATTTTTTTTACTATATCAACCAATATCGCCATCTTCTGGAATTACGTGAAGATATTAAGACCTACTGGAAACTAAACTGAGCTTTGCTCTGGAGACCAAAGTATATTCCTGCTGAAAAGGATTTCAAAGTGCACGGTTTTTATAATTTGAGCATTTTTAGATTATATGAAATGTAATAAATCTGTAAGGCACTGTCTTCGAAACTAATATAACACTCTAATCCTTCCCATCATGTGTTTGGGAGGATATTGCTACAATTTGGAAGGACTTTAAAAAAAAAATCTTTATATGCAAAAGTAAAGTCCTAAAGTAGTTTGGTGTCTAGACGTGGTTGTAATCAATGAACTCTATCGAGAAATATAATAAATGATGTTGCTTATATTACATTAAATTATTTAGTATACTATAATTATTTTATATTTGAAATAAAGCATTAACATTATAGATAAGACTCATACTACATGTTTTAATGATTCCATCAGAGTTTATTTTAATATATTGCCTCTTTACGATTATCCCCTGGAGATATATATGTTGGAGAAGACACATCTGCATTAGAAACATTAGGTATGCATTATAGTGTTTTGTGTTAAATTAGCTACATACGTGCTTTCCCCAAATAGTGCTTTCTCTTGCTGTTGTCTCCCTCTGTGGTTGGAAAATACATTATATGTGAGGCAAAAGTTTTAAGTATTTTAGCCATAAAAGTTAACCAGTAAAGATCAATAAAAGTCACCAATTATAACTTTTAGGCCTTATTTCTCTGTTTAGTTTAACTTTGTATTTGGACAGTTAACTAAACAGTTTAGAGAGTAGAGTTAACATTGCTTCACAATGTTCTGGTCACTTCAGATTGTGTGCCACAAGAAAGCGGCTTCTGATTATGTTGTCATTCAGCTAGTATTGGGCTAAACTATTCACTTTTATTTGAAAACATTCATTTGTCTTGATAACCCTCCTTATCCAGGGCTATGTTTTAGCAATAATGAAAAAAATTGAAAAATAAATTTTTTAAATTCAGCTAAAGCCATCACTAAGCAAGATTTTGGGGGGAGGTAAAATGCTCTGACACCTCTCTAAAATTGTATAATATGACAACTTGTTTTTCTGGTTGATATATTAAATGGTTAAGTTAATGAGCCTCTCTATTAAAGTAGTTAACATTTGAGCCTTCATAATTATGCTTTGATTGTCTTTTGATAGAAAGTATGCTAGGGCTTTTGCTTCTGCTCCTCGCCATCACCTTTATAACCAGGAAAAGTTGCACTTTTAGAGGTAGATGTAAGTTTCATTATTTAGATATGTTACCTTCTGACATATAGTATTATATCTACATTACTTGAATTCCTTACTTACCAAAGCAACTTTGTAATGACTTTTACTTATATGTAGCGTATGTCACACATATACCATATATGCTTTAATCACAAGTATGTTTATCATACATACAAAAAGCATAGATATTATAGTGGCATTGCATTGGATATTATCATCAAAGATAGCTTAAATCTATTAATATAAAATATTTCCCTTTTAATATATAAATTTATAATAAAAATAATGGAAAAACAAATTAGCCTCTTTTCTACATTTTAATGGGAAATTGTTAAGTTTGACTTTATCCCTCACTGGGATGAATATATGTAGGTATATTTCTTATACGGAAAACAGTTCCATGTCTTTTTGGTTGTTTTGCAAAAGAATGGTGTGTAATTCAATTGAGTAAAGTTTCATAGCTAAGGATATATATGAAGTAAGTTTTTAGGCTAAGAAAAGGGATATTGCATCTTTCAAAACGCAATGTCATTTTTTAATTTAATTGCCGTTCAATTATTTCCAAATGTATGCCATTTTTTCATTGGTTGTGTATTATATTTTACATACACAGCATGTACACATTAATAATTCAAACATAAATTTGAAATTATGTTTCAATACAGTAAATGTGTATGATATATTCACATGCATCTACTGTAGAAGTATCTTTGTGTATATATAGTATATGGTATATATGTATATTCACATAATATATGTATATACCTGTGTAACATTAAGATATAATAACTTGTTTGTAGAAATTTAGGTTTTATTCTATATATGTGATATATTTATTAACATAATAGATCTTTATGTTTTGTACCTAAAGTAAAATAGTCTATATAGTACACAAGTTTTATACACAGCTGTTCCATCTGTCACATATTTAGATGGTAATGGATGATATTATGCTTAACTGCATGTTGAAAATACATGATCCATTTAATTTTTCAATTTTTTGGCAATAATAAATATCAGCATGTTATTTTTTCCAAATTATGTATTTTAAATTTTATTTTTATATTGCATATCTGTCTGTTTAATTGCATGGCAAAAAAAAATCTAACAATGCATGAGCAAATTGAAATGCAAAGCAAAAAAACATGAATTTTATTTTATTTTATTTTATTTTATTTTATTTTATTTTTTAACGCACATTTTTCTGCTTTATTGAATGTGACAGAGTCACGCTTTTCATTCACCATTGCTTCTCTTTTTCCACTGTCTGTGATTTGCTTGCCAGGAGGAGCTACTATTCTTACTCCTACTACCTGTAAGTAGAAAATGGGTGATGTACAACTTTACATGTGTTAAAGGTGCAGTATCCCTTTTCAAAAACAAAACAAAACAGAATGTTTGCAATTTTGGTGACATTTCAAAAAAAAGTTTTTCCAGACTCTAAAACTGTAAACTTTTTCTATTACCTATTTTGCCAGTCTTTTTAAAAAGGGATATTGTATTTCTGTATGTCCAGCTACTTTTAATTTATTTATAATTTTCCATAAGTAGCTTTAGTCTAGAGCCAAAAACTCATTTATTTACTCAAGTTAAACCTGTACCTTATCTGAGCAATATGGCACTTCATTCATCTGATAAAGAAGAGATAGTGGTTGTAACTCAAAAATCACTATCTTTATGTAGCATCATTATATCTGACAAAATGAGCCAAGTAGTGTATTTATAGAACATTCAAAATACCTTCATAGGATACAAATTAGTTCAGGTCTACATGTAATAACATCTCTCTCTGTATTTCTAGGAATCTAGGATGGGTTATAACTTCAGAAGATCTTTGGTCCGGCCATTAAGGCAATTATTGTGCTTTTGTTAAAGAAAAAAAAAGTGGAAAAATCATGATGTTGCAGCAACAAAGAAAAATTCTTTTTAGTGGAAAAAAATGAGTTTATTGTAACTTAAGTAGGACAAATATTTTAGAGCCAAAAAAAACCTTTGTCGACCTATTTAGAAACAGATAGAGGCATCACATTGCTCTTGTCTCTTCCAGAGTATGTAACTCTTCCTAGACTCAAGCATGGAATGGCTCATTTGGATAGGATAGAGAAGATGGTCCATTCTATTTCCTGAGTCATTTTCAGCTTATCACCTTATATGCCAGAGTGGTTTTTCATCCAAATCAAAGGAACAATACAGCAAAGCATTCTTGGACTTTGCTTGACCAGTATTTGATCCACCGACTTTCAAGGTTTAAAGATTGCAATTAAGTATGTTTGGAACATGTATCCCACAGCATTTAAATCATTAAGTAAACTTGGGCTAACTTTACCACAAAAGCGTTGTAAGAGTTTCCATGACCATAACACAATTCTGCCAACATTTTAAATATTATAAAGGATTTGCTTCCTAAAATCTGCTAAACCAAGCAACTGTACACTGATGGTGCTCCTAACTTATTGTGATGAATCATAATATCCTTGTTAAATTATGTTTGATGAAGCCAGAGATAATCAGCTGTACCATTTCATACAATGATGGAACACTTTCCCCGTTATGGCCCACCCATACATCCACCTGCAGAAGTTTATGCTGTTGGCTGCTTTGATAATGAAAGTCATTTGCACATCTGTCAAACTCAAAGTAGTTGCAAAATGAATTGCTTAACTGTTCTGAAGTGCACATTAGATATGCTAGTTGCTCAGGAGGAGACAAAGCATCAAACATACCGGAATCAATAAGTATTTAATTATGAGACTGTCAATAAGCTTAACATTAACCATTGTGTAGCTCTGATGTTAGAATGGGGTTCCCTTTTTTGGTGGATAGATAACATTTCTGTGTTCCAGACAATGTAACAGGTTGTACTAATATTGTAGTACATAGGGCTACTGGCAATTTTAATCGAAACTACAAAGGTTGTCACAGAGATACGCTTTTAAAGGATGTTTAACCATACCTAGTGATGCTTATCTTGATTAGAGAGTATTTTAAAATAAAAATAGATATAAATTAGAGGACAGCTTAAGGGAAAATCACATGTGATCTTTGAGCTACTATTCATTGGCATTGTCATAGTAACTATCTGTTTTTGATCAACAACACTTAACACTGACGTTAATTTTTTTTTGTTTTAGAAAAACCTGAATGAAAGCCTACCTCACAGGGTTGTTGTGAGGATTAAGGTATAAAAAACAAGCTGATAATTCATGGCTGGCAGATATTAACAAAAGTTATATTCCCCCATAATTTGTCAACTAATCTAGGTTTATGAATCTGAAAAGCTAAAGTCCGTCATTGCATGAAAATTTTAACCTGTCATGCATTTGGCAAATTCATTACTTCTTGTTTTTCCCCAATTCTGAAATACCTATAAATTAAACATATTTTAAAGTAAAGCCTCAGGGTTTCAATTTGTCTTTTCTATTGGCCTTGAACTGCCCATCTTCAAAATTTTAACGTCATTTTGAATCCAAATTTCAGTTTATTTTTATTCAGTTCAGTCTCTCATATTTTTTGAGAAATGAATTTATTTTTTTTTCTTTTCCAAGACACAAAGATTGGAAGTTATTTCCTAAAGCAGTTTTTGCTGTTTTAAAATTTTAAAATGGGAAAACATTTATGCTATATTTATATTTTGCTGAAATTGATAACAACTAGTGTTCAACTGCTAGAGTAAGCAATGCCACTTTGAAATGTGCAGTTTAAAAAGTGTAAGCAACCAGATATAGTATAAGAGCTTAGGCTGTAGAACCAGGTCATTCTTCATTGCTTATTAGATAAATAACCTTGGGCAAGTTATTTAACTCCCCTGAGCCTCACTGAACTTATCTATACAATTAGAATCCTTGTGCCTTTTTCACCAGATTAATCTGAGAATTGAGTTAACAAATGAAAAGTGCCAAATATATAACAGGCCTAATTCATCTATTCAACAAGTATTTATTGAATGCCTCCTATGTGCCAGACACTGCGTCAAGTGCCAAGGCTATGCAGATCATCCTTCTCTTTGTGGAGCACACAGTGGGGAAAACAATTGAAAGATATTCACATTTATCAATCAATAAGACTCATTACAGGTGAAGAATGTGTTGCTATAGAAAATACCTAGCCTAACTTAAGAAAGGTTGTTTTGGAGTCAGTCATATAAAGCCTCCCTGATGAAGTGTCTATTACACTGAAACAGAACAGATAGAAGTTGGCCAGATATTACAGGCAAATAATGTTGTAGGTTAAAGAACAAACATCTGTATCATGGCCTAGAGGGAAGGTTGGAAGGTGAAAGTTCATAGGCTAAAAGTGGCCTGATGATGTTTCATTTTGGTCTTAACACTGTTTTAAAAAATAAAATCACTTGAAAAAAAAAATCAAGAAAATTAATATAAACAATCAGATTCATGGCTTGTCTTTAAAAAAAAATTAAGTCAGAAGTTCAACACTGGGATCAAATGCCAGTAGTCACTTAGGCAAGTTGCCCCTAAACTGCTTTCCAGTTCTTCACAAGTATCACCCTTCCTTATGGTATCTTGCCCTGACAGCAGCACCCATTTACATTACCTGTCAGAAACCTACATATTCATACAGGACTTTTACCCTCAAATCTAGAAAAAGGAGATTCATAGCTCTTTGAATGTATAGCGCAACTGTTGCTAATTAATGATGGGGTGATGGTGTAGTGGTAGTTATGTTAGTGGTGGTAATAGTTCTTGTTATACTTTGTCATTGTTTTCTTATTACTAATACTGTGATTCTGTGATTATCGTTATTTATTATTTCTAAAATAGCCATCTCCATTTTCGAATCTTAGTTTTTGACTACCTTAAACAACATAGTGTAAGATCTGATGCGTCCATGTGTTGTGTGTGTTGTGTATGTACCACCCTGAAGCCAAGTATTATAATTCTCAGAGAAAAATATCCTACACTGGAGCAGTCCTCTAATTGCTAGATCAATGTTTTAAAGGAAAAGCCTTTATACATAAACTCAGTCTATTAAGTGAGACTTTGCAGTATTTGTACAACATTTACTCTGGTTTAGATACTAATGAGGATCAGAAGACAATGGCTTATAATCTAGTGGAGGAATGGTGTTCTTAAAACAGCTAACGAATATTTCCAAGGCGATATAAACTGCTGCCGTAAACTTAGTAACATAATTTGCCTATTACAGGCTTTTAGAGTACCTTTATTTATATATAAATGTTCTTGTTAGTGTAATTTAAATATTTTATATGCCTTTAATAGCCTTTTTCTTGGATGTTTCATGTGTAACATTCACAAAGAACTAAAATATATTTTACATACATGATATGTAAGACAAACATGCCAATATTTCAGTAGTTCATAATTCTAACGCTGTTAATTTCCAATCCCTTAAATCATATGCCTTTCTGCATTTATAAAGCATTGCTGTAGGTGATAGTATGCCATGTGGTTCTACTTAGAAAACACACCTTTAAGATTTGACCATGTGAATACTCCAAGATGATAATTTGCATATCTTTACATACTATTTTTAAAACTTTTCTCAGTACTTTTCTTACACAGTATACGATTTAATCCCATGTATTAATGTGTACTTGAAATTTTCTAGCAGTGTTTTATTCTAAAAGTCTTAAGATTAGCTTCTGATTAGTGTTATAAATATATTCCTAAATATGTTAATACTACACATTGCATTTTTACTTAATAATAGCACAGAGAATGAAGCATGAGACATTTCTTTGTTTTAATTTGGTGGCTACAGTAAAACAGACTTGAAAAGTTAGTCGTTATTTCTAAAAAGAACTAAAAGAATTAATTACCCAGGAGGAATATCAAAACTTGGCTTTAGATGAAATATTTGTTGAATTACTCTTGTAAAGAGGTATTCATTTTGCTTTTAAAAAATATAATTTTTATGATATTAGTGGAATAAAATACAGGAAATGATGAGAGATTTGAGTTGACAGCTTGAATATTGAAATATCCATCTGACAAAATACTGTTATAGCAAAGAACAAATATAATTGTTTGAATGTCAAACTTAATTCCTGAAATTGTGACCAGGGCTTGGGATTTCTAACCCATGTTTGTAACCTTATCCTTGGGCTCCCCTGAACCTCTTATTGCTGGTGTTAACTCTCCTGCAAGCCTCAAACATTAAGGATTCCCCTTTGTATTTGCCTTGGCAGTAAACTTGCTAAAAAACGCAAAGATGCCATGGGGAATACCCGGCAGGAGATGACTCACATGGTGAATGCAATGGATCGAAGCTATGCTGATCAGAGCACTCTGCACGCAGAAGATCCTCTTTCCATCACCTTCATGGACCAACATAACTTTAGTCCAAGATGTAAGTTTTTCATTAAAATTTTAATAAATGATGTTGCGGTTCATTAAGTTCACTTTGAATTCTACACGTTACTTTTTGAATAATGAGAGAGAGTAAGAGAGAGGGAAGAAGCAGCTAGAAAGAAGAAAAAGAGATGGAGGATATTATGGAACTTACAAGAAGGATTCTCAACAGGATTGATACTGGATTTAGTTCAGCTTCAAACTCTAATTTTATTATTATATCACAAGAGATATACCAAACATACACCACTGTACATAGCACATGTCATTGCTCTGAGTGAAAATACATGATTGCCTACCTAAAGTTAGTTCATGTCAGAATTTACAATTTTTTTCTATTTTCGTCTTCCTTTGTGTAAGATGAAAGCTTCTTTTGTGATAAGAGGAAACAGTAATTCTTCCTGGGAATTATTGACACAGGTAAAATCGGTTCATTAAAGTACTATATTGTGAACTCCTGGAGAATTGCAATACTAAAAAGTTAAATCAGAGAAAGATTAGTCTACATGCTCTTAAATATCTGGCGTGAAGTCCAAAAGTATACTTGAATTGGGGGATTTGCAAGGAATAGTGAAATTCATTTATCCATTTGTCTAGAAAATTCTAATGTTGGTCTATGAAGGCAAGGCTTTTAAAATATTTCTGTTGAAGTACCATTTAAAAGCAGATGACTTTAATAATTACCCCAGTATTAATATTTTCAAATTTCATATGAATTTTATATTCTGTTCTATAGTGCATCTGTTTAAGTTAATTAAATTTAGTCAAATTGCCTAACTTTGTTTCTTCAAATCCTCAAGTAAAATTGATGCTTGTGGCAGGCAAATCAAGTATATCTCCTGAGTATACTGGCCTTGTATAACTTGGGCCTTATGATATTTGGCACAGATCCCAGATGTATGCTCACCCAGTTTGGAAAAGATGAGTATAAGGAAATAAACAATATAAGTATTATCTCCTATACAAACTATGAACATATGTTTTAGTAAGATTAGAAACAAAGTATTTGTAGGTTGTATGGTTGTATGTCTTTTCAGAGAGGGACATTTTTTTCTGAATTGTTCAGCTTGGTAAAATTTTTAAGCGACTGTTGGACCTAAAATGAAGCCCATCATTTTCTATGATATATATGATACCAAATTAGTAGTCAGAAATGCTATGCATAAGTCATTTTGGAATTTAGTCATAATCATGACAGGGCCTTTCAGATCTATTTTATTTTTATCTCACTATAGATAAATGATGGAGAAAAACATAAAATATACTTACTGTTGAAAGCAAGTGTTACTGAAAATAAAAATGAATTATCTCTTTACTACTTAATTTTATATTTAATCAATTAAGGAGTTGAAAGCATTCATGCATCCCAAACTTGTCTATCTATTGCCTATGCGAGGTCCTTATTCAAAAGTTTGAATTCGGCAGTGTAACTGTAAACATCAGCTTATGAACTTACAGAAAGGATTAAATCTATTTCCCACAGCTAACTGAAAAAAATTATTTGGAATGAATATGAGATAATTATTTCTTTAAATACCTTACACTTGATAGATCTAAAATACATGGTTTCTTTTTTCATAATTTTTATAATGTCAAATTGAGTCTTCTGGCTTTTTTAATTAAACAGAGTTCTGAACTATAGTTACAGATATACCTCTCTGGATGTTTAGATATAAACCAAGCTGGGAGAGAAAAATTTTACATTTACAGAATATAGTAATCTGAGAAAGTTTAATCGTTATATTGCTGAAGAAAGCATAAATCTATTTTGAAGAAAAAAAAATTAAAAAACAACTTCAGAGCAATATATTCCTTCATGAGCTTTGTTTTCCTGCAGTGCCCAATGATCCACTTGTACCGACTGCTGTGTTAGGTGAGGCCCTAATCTTTATCATTTTTCATTGCATGGATCACACCCCCTTGCATGGGTTTGTCCACATAGAGTTTATTTATAGTGCAGGAGGCAGCTTGATTTTGAAAATAGACAGCCATGGTATTATCAAAGAGAACAATTGTGTTCAACCCAATATCAGATCTAGTTTGGATTTCAAATTAGCAAGGCATGTTATTTAATGTATTCTTAATTCTTGGTTGTTAGATTTGGAGCAAAAGTACAGTGGCCCTTAATGTTGACTAATATTAATGTGTCAAAATTAGTAGAATGAAGCCAAATGCATACGTCTCAGGGTTCAGTGTTGCCTGTATAACTAGTTCATATGTAAAAGTCTACATGATGGAAAGGGATTTTTCTAAATCCTCCTAATTTATAACCACAAAAGAACAAATTTACAAGTGAACACTAGGATTATGTGCATTTGCTTTAGTCTTTGTCTTTATTAAGAATGTTTTAATGTAGGTAAAGTTGCTAAAATCTTGATGTGGGGTTTGACATTCTACATGAACCTTATCTAATAAGTAGTGTTATCTTTCAGGAAATTTAGAACAAGCTACTTGGGTTACTACTGTGTAACAGCTAAGACAACTACTATTGCTAATGACAATTAAGACTTTTTCAGATATAAAATTATGTTAATTTTTAAATCTACCCTTATATTTAAGAATGGAATGGGTTTCATTTCAGTTTGTACCCTATTCCTTGACTAGCTAAACACTGATGATTCGTAATCAGTTTGCCTGTGCGTTCACAGGTTTCATATCAGTTTTACTGGTGTTTCTAGTTAAGCTTTAACCAAAGAAATATGGAAATTATCAGATAAATATATATTTAAAATTCTAAACTGTCATTTATATCTAGTATTTCTTATGAACATAAAACTTTAACTTATACTTTATGCCTGTGTTTTTGTTATCCACACAATCAATGTTCAATTGCATTTTTTGAATATTTTGGAACAACACAACTAACTGAGCTAGGTAAAATATGCCTCTTATTCACTAAAATAAATGTTTAAAATTATAATTTTATAATTACTATAAAGGATATATATTCTAAAAATAATCTGAAAGTCAGTGTTCATCTCTGCTCGCACCCTCCCTTTGATGTCAGCCAATAATGGATAGGAAGTGAACTGGGAGATTTGCCCCAGGGAGTGGTCTGATCACACAGGGAGGAACCATAATGATGATCGTTGATGATCATTAGGGAGACATCAGATGCCTCTGCAAATATCATCTTCTGCTAAGCACTGTCAAATGCTGTCAGTATAAAGTTAATAAATACATTTCAATTAAAATATTGATAACTAATTGGAAAAAAAGTTGCCTAAATGTTAATTTTTCTATACATATGTAGAATTAAGTCGAAGTCTTCGCCCTCCTGTGGATTTACAATAAAAACTCATAAAAATACCTTACATCTTTGTTTTTCCATCTATAAAACAGCATAATAATTCCTACCCTACCTTTTTCATGGGGTTTTATTATAAAGAGAAAATTAGATCATGTGTACAAGTTTTATAAACTATAAATAATTATTATAATAATTTTCCCTGTGAAAAAGGATATTCGTGTTCAAGGAAATCTAGATTTAACATAATACTGTCATTAAATCTAATTATGTAAACATTCATTATGCATTTTATTTCATTTTGAAAGTCAAGCTGGTTTTAAAAAAGTACTGGCATTCTTTAAAAGCTAAATATCTCATTAATCATATTAGATGTAGAAATGATTTGTTGTGTTTTTCATTATTCCGAGGACTGTGGTCTTTAGAGTTTTGCATCCAATCGATTTTGTATTTATAATGCAGTTTCTGATATCACTACAAATATTGCTTAATGCTAATACTGATTTAAAAGGGCTTAGAAACTTTTCATATTAATTCATTTTTTGTTTTTTGTGTTTTACTGCTTCATTGGGTTTAAGTCCCTATAACAGGTAAGTGTATTGCAAAGAACTCAAGAAAACCTTTCAATCAAGGATGTATTTCAAGTTACTATTCTTACATGTATAATAAGGATAATGATTAGTACATGTATCCTCACTACTAGTCACATTATTAGGTGATTTAATGAGGTGGAAATGTATTGAGATTAATAATGCATTTGTGATTATTTTAAAGACCTTACTGTTCATTGTACTACTGTATTAAGCTTAATGCAAAACAAAAGGCACTGTCTATTTTATATTAGGAAACAATCATCTGTAAGATTTAGAATACGGGTGAATTCTGTGTTTCCAACCGAGCCTTTTTCAATTGCAAATATTCTGCTACTCCAACAAGTAAAAGTGAGTTCTGGGGCTGGTTACCTTGTTCCAGCTTGAGTGATTGCATTTTGCCTCTCTGACGTTATCTGTTCTCTTTACTTCTCATCCTTAAGTGTGTATTCTGCGGCAGTGCCCAAATCAATTGCTTCTGAATTTAATTTTTCTGGGGAGGTGTATTTATTATTTACGTGAGTCTCTTGATTGTAATATTTTAATAGAAGTAGATCCATTGACTTTGGTCTCACAGTGGGAAGAAGAAACTCTCATGGATCATGTTCGCTAGCTAATGTTTTTGTGTAGACGGGTGGGTAAAATCTAAGTAAAAGACATGAATTTACTTGGGTGATTAGGTCACAACAGAATCTATGAGGGACTTTTTAATTCAATGTGATATTTTTAGGAATGAATGCAAAAAAAAAGCATTCATCTTAATAAGAGGGAGTTAAGATAAATGCAATCAGGCTAAATTATAGAGGCACACAAATCTGATTGTAGGGTTCTTTTTTTTTTTCCTTCTCCAGGAAGAAAAAATGTTTATCATGGGGACAACAATTCATTTTTTGCCATATCCTATTTGTAGAGTTGGTAATAGAACAGGCAAATGTACTAGCACTTGAAATATGTTTCACTGTTAATTAAATATCATTCTCTACAGTATGCATTATCATTAAAAAAAAAAGTTCCCTCAAAAGTGTATTTTCTCTTCTGTTAATGAGTACGACAGTATAATGCTTTTCAAAATAACACCTCTTAAAACATTTGTTTTTTTTTTAAGTGGTAAGTTTAAATGTGATAAATATGAGCATGCTTCTCATTGTAATGTTTAGTACTTTGGTCATTAAAATACTGTTTATTCTTCATAGGCAAAACTGTTCTTGTTTTTTTCTTCCTTCTTATGACAGAAAAACAATTTAAAGTTTTTTTTTCTTTTTAAGCTAATAATACAATTGGGAAGGGACTCACACTTAATCATGGGTGGTCAGGGATTCAGTTGACTTTAATTCATTCATTGGAATATTTATTGAGTGAGTGTTATGCATCAGGCACTAGGAACAGAAAGAAAAATATTCTGTCTCTGTCCTCTGTGTTCAGAATTTATGAGGAAAATAGACAAGTAAATTAATGATGAAAATATAGAATAAGTGAAATGACATGTAAAATTGAATACGAGGTCATGGGAACATAGGGAGTTTTGTAACTCAACCTGGAGGGACCAGAAAAGAATTTGAGAAGCACATGCTGATTTCTCTCATAGAGTGGCCGGGAGACTCAAAATACATTTGCAATAAAAACAGTAATAGTAGTAAGTCAAGGTGGCAGATATTGAATATAAATGCATGTGTCGTCTGTCTAGCAGACAGAGTGGCATCAGCGGATAGTTATGTAGAATGCCCATGTTTCCCAGTGCAGTGTGTTGTGGTAAGAAGCCCCAGAGTATAGGGGCCGTAAGAACAAGAAGAGCAACCCTTTGGGAATGGGTCACCTATATCGGGTCTCTGACGGAGGTTGGGATACGGTTGGGAAGGAGTTTGGTCAACTTAATCGGCAGTGAAAACACCTCTCCACTTGACAGCTGGGTCCTCTGGTCCCACTCTATACTGCTGTGACTGCAGATGCAAGAAAAAGAACTCAGCAAAATCTCCCACTTAAGCTTTTAAAAGGTCTATCAGATGTCTCCCTGCATCTCACAGCATCTGTTGTCTTGCTGATATACACATAATATACTCTGACCTCAAACCTTGAGTTTTGTCTTTGGGGATGCTGCTTAGGCCTATATGTCTGATATTTCTTTCCCAGAATTCCTCTTGTTATCAGAAAGATCTTAAGGTCTTAAAATCTTCATTGCATAGACATATATATATATATATTAAACAAGATAACTTTGTCTCTTTTTTAATCTTCTGAAATCTGAAAAATGCCAGATGAGAACCACAGTGCTACAGCAGAGTCCAGTCGCCTTCTAGACGTACCTCGCTACCTCTGTGAGGGGACGGAATCCCCTTACCAGACAGGACAGCTGCATCCAGCCATCAGGGTAGCTGATTTACTGCAGCACATTAATCTCATGAAGACCTCAGACAGCTATGGGTTCAAAGAGGAATATGAGGTGAATAAGCTTCCATACTGTATTGCATTTGATTTTTAATATGTTACTCAGTGGAATTTAACATTTTTTCCCTCTCTTTAACACTACAAGGAGGGGATTGCTCTCTAAGCTCTCTAATCTAGTGTTTATGAGTGTACAACCAAGTAGTATGGGGGGAAAAATTACACTTTCCAGAGATATGTCTGAGTCTAAATTCACTACAAGAATCTTTAATATTGGATTTCATAATTTATTTTACTATGGTATTAAAAAATACTTTGTGTATCTCCCCATGCAAAAATCAAGTAGCAAGTTACTTTGGGTCCCATTGTACCATTACAGATTCTATCATTTGAATGAATCAAGTAGCAGGTACTTCTCTGCTTCTTTGTTTATTGACCCGATGATTGAGAAATCAGATGAAACTTCATGCTCTAAATGTACTACTTGTCACTCATAGTTAAATTTTATAGATTATTTGTTGCGGGTGGCTGAGAAGAAAAATAGAGCACTGCAAATCCAGTAAACAACATTGAGAAGGCAGAAGAAGGCAGTGGGAAATTCTTTCAACCTTATTTCCCCTTCCTACTCAAACCAAAATACCAGGACTTATCTTACAAAGGCGGTGATTTAAAACCAAACATCCCAACAAATATAATATAGCAAAAGGGAAATAGTTCCTTTGCCACCCTTCACTTACTGAGAAATCCAATCTGGAACATGGAAGGAAGCCAGTCCACTACCCATGAACACATCACAGTATGCACACATTTAAAGTGAAAGAATCCAAGCAATATTTTTATCTATGGATTACTTTTATACTTTAAATTAGGAGTGCTAATTATCTCTGAATTTTGAAAGTCAGTTTTAGATGTATGTGAGAAACACTAAGCCGTCATAACAAAATAAGTACAAGGAATTAGACTATTCTGCCAGACCTGGTTCTTTTTGTTCATTTCATGTGTATTCCTGTGTACCTTTCTTCAAAGGCCACTGGCTCTTTGAAGACCCCATTTCCTGTGCTGAGCAAAGTTTAAGTTCTTTTGCAAAATGAAATTTAGACTCATGTTTTAAATTGCTGTGTATGGTAATTAAACTAGTCAACAAATTAATCTGTTCCCAGATTCTTGAAGAAGGGGACTCCATTTTAATTTTCATATGGTCCCTTATTGTAAAGACTCAGTCCTTTTCATGATCTTCAAAGAAACTCAAATGTGATGTGTTGCACACAATTTAATGAATAATTGTGGAGGGAATCAGGTTTTCTTTCCACTGTTATAAATGCTAAATAATGCACATTTGAAAGATAGCCATTAAAAGTTTTTTTGCAGTTTTGATGCATTATCATTCAACACATTTTGAAAAGAATGATACTTTTCTACTTCTAACTCTCAACGTTATAGTGATCTTAAATTTGAAATACTTTCAAGGTCCATTTTTTCTCTGAAGTTTTTTTTTTTTTTTTTGTCTTTAATTTGACCTCAATCCAATTTGAGATGAACAAGTATGAATCCAACAAAGCGGCTGTGAGGTCTGAGAGTGAAACTTGTTTACTACTGTAGGACACCTTTCCTCTCTCAGAAAGTGGTTTTTACTGTTTAGGGCTTCAGAACAGATAAACCTGATTTTTAAGAAGGAATTAAATTTAGTCTGTTTGTTAATTTTGTTTTCCCAGAGCTTCTTTGAAGGACAGTCAGCATCTTGGGATGTAGCTAAAAAAGATCAAAATAGAGCAAAAAACCGATATGGAAACATTATAGCATGTAAGTTCTTATACAATTCTTGATGAATGTAAATTTTTATATATACGAAGGTAAATAGTGAGCTCCTTATATGGTTTTAAACATTAAGAAAAATCCCAGAGAGTGGTGTGTCTGTTTAGGAAGAAATCTATTTAATATTAAAACAGCATTTACAGTCAGGTGTGGTGGCTCACGCCTGTAATCCCAGCACTTTGGGAGCCCTAGGGGAGTGGATCACCTGAGGTCAGGAGTTTGAGACCAGCCTGGCCAACATGGCAAAACTCTATTTCTACTAAAAATACAAAAATTAGCTGGCTTGGTAGCATGCATCTGTAATCCTAGCTACTTGAGAATTACTTGAACCCGGGAGGTGGCAGTTGCAGTGAACAGAGATTGAGCTACTGCACTCCAGCCTAGACGACAAAGTGAGACTCCGTCTCAAAATACAGCAACAACAAACGAAAACAGCATTGGCTATTAGCAATGATTCTGCAATTGCCATCATCCTCATTAATTAAATTGAGTCAGTCACTTTACCCTGTGGAGATAACTTGCTGTTTCATTTCATATGTATATAAATGCATAGGGTGTTACTAAACAGCTGAGACTATCAGGCTAATGAAAAAATAAGATCTTTTCAGTTCTAAATTGTTTTAATACTCCCATCAAACATATTCTAGGTTGGAGTGTTATTCTTTCCACATGCCTTTAATTCTTACTTGGACCCACTGTCTAAACTCCAGTTGTTCGATATTATTTATCATTAAGGACTTCCTCCTGAGTAAGTCCTCAAGACATATATGGGATAAGAAAGTCATTAGCAGAAAAAACTCACAGGATTAGTAAGGAAAGTAGCAGATAGTTTACCTTGTGACTAGCTGCTGATTTACCTAGACCACTGTATTCTGAATTTAAATTATTTTGAAGTATCTTATGAATATCTCAAAATCTAACCTTGATTCTCAGGGAATAAGAAACAGATAGCAGGAATTCAAAGTTAACTTTTTAGTTTTGTGGCTCATTTGCTGCAAAGTGCAGAAGAAAAGGATCCAACCCATATAAAGTTATGACTAAGAAGCAAAATTAGAAGTTAAGTATACTTCATTTATGTGGACAATTCTGTCACTCAAATGATTACTACCAGACAATTTTATGTCTCCTAAAAACTTGCTAACTGTGAAGGTTCAAGTCAGTGAAGCTTTAGTCACAGAATATTGTAACTGTAATAGCAAGGCTCGCTAAAGTTCTTGTATTTCTTCAAAGGACTGATTTGGTAGCAGTATACTATAGATGACTATGAGCAACACTGAATTCTTTCTTCTCTACCAATGACATTGCCTCAGAACAGGGGGAACATTTAACAGCTTTTATTTATTATTTAAATTTTTTAGATGATCACTCCAGAGTAATTTTGCAACCTGTAGAGGATGATCCTTCCTCAGATTATATTAATGCCAACTATATTGATGTAAGTATTTTTATAGTTCAGTATGTCTACTTTATTGGCTTTTATATATGAACCTTTTCACTTGTCATTACCTATAAAGTGATTGCTAGCTTTTTTAAGTAAAGTACAAACTGTACACTTTTCCTTGTTCTACGTCCTAGTACTTACTGACGTTGTTGTGCTTTCTTTCACACCTGACTTTGGTTTGGCCTGTAGATTTGGCTGTACAGGGATGTAAGTACCACTATATGTAAATAACAGCACCCTATTATAAATACAAATATTCTTAATTACAGTTATTACTAATGCTTTCTTACTAGTTATTTCTGCATGCTTCACCTAATTAGCTTCATACAGTATATCTCTGTTCGTTTTTTTTGTAATTCTTTCACATGCGTAAAAACCTATTTTACCTCCTTCCCTTTTCTTGTGTAGAAAAACAGGACCATTTTTAGCTTTGACAATTTATTATGTACTCGAGTTTTATTTGTTGATGATTTCTGTTTCTGGCTTTTATTCTTACCCTTCCCTAAACATGTGAGAAGCTGGATAGTATAATGTGTATTAGTGTTACTGAAATTTTAATTTTTACATTTGACTTCTGATGTTAAAATGAGGAGGGAGACTATTTTGTGATGTGTTGTATTGGCTTTTAAAGTAATAAAATTACTCAGGCAAAATAGTTACTAAATTGCAGTTGTAAAATACACATATCACACATATATATCGAATCACAGAAATGGAAAAGTTTACTTAGATCATATATCTCACTGTTAAATTTTGGTCACTTATATATCTACATGCAAATTCTTTATTTAAAGGAAGTAACTATCAAACAAAATATAAAACATTCTTAAAGGGCAATATTTTACATTACCTATAAGGAGGACAGGATCTTTGTCATACCACCTGGTCCATAATCACACTAGAGATCTTGGGAATGTTACTTCTCTCTCTGTACCTCAGCTTCCTTATCTTTGCAGTGGGGATAATAATAATAGTATTAACTTCATCACTTTGTTGTGAGACTTAAATGAAGTAATGCATGTTGAGCATTTTGCCCAATGCCTAGCTCATTTTTAGCACTCATTAAACTTCAACTATTTTTTTACAATTAAAATAGAGGTGTGCTGTAATTAAATCAATTCATAATATGTATAATTATAAGACAGAAGTTAGAGGTATTAAGTATGGCAGCATATGTATAATTTTATAGACATGAAAGATAGGAAACCTAGGACCCAACATTTTCTAATTTTCATAAATAGGAAATAATTTTCATCATATTTATTAAGTTCACATTTTACAGTTATTTTATGAATTGTAATTATGTATTTAGTTGAATTATATTTTATAAAGCATAGTATATGAGTATATGAGTATATGATCAATTTCTGATCAGAATTGCACTCTTATTCATTATATAAATTTATCGAACATGTCATTATGTAAAGCTAAGCTAATGGTCTAATTTTTAGAATAAAAAAATAAACAGTTCTATGACAAATTTGTAACTGTTCTTACCTATTTAATTTAACCTGGGTTTTCTGCTAGGACATGTACACTGGAGCCTTGTTATAAAACTATTTTATTGTTCATACGGTAGGACTGTATTTTAAATAAGACTTGTTATCCAATCTTTCTGTTAAGGCCCCAGTGTATTTTGGCCAGTTTCTATACAATTTCATAATTTTCCCTCTCCCATTAGTTCATTATATGTAAAAGATATAAGTATATACTTCTTCAATTGGTATTTTTTTTAAGAACTGGAAATGAAATACTTGTAAAGCTTGGAAAAAATTTTCCATAAAACACTGTGCTATTTTGGTATATTAAAAATTTGAAATCTTCCAAATTTGCAACAATGTAATGCTCACACTATTAAATTTTACGTTGGAGATCTCAGTTCACATGTATTTATATGTGTATTGACTCGCCCACACCAATATGTGGACAAATTGTACCACAGACTTTTACTAAGACCCATTTGTAAATATGAAACAAATTCAGAACTTAGGATCATATCATCAAGATTTTTGCAACTCATGGTTTATTGTTATTCAAACCAATTGAGAGCAACTAACAATTTATTCCTCCTCAACAGAACTTTTGGCACATGGAAAAAAAAATACTAAATTTTTGCTCAAGATAAGATGTACTTTTAAAAACTCTGCTTTCCCTATATATATGTGTGTACCTATAATTTTGTGTGTGTAAATTAACATGGTGAGCCCACACAAAATAGTTTTTGCATATCTCTGAACATATTATAGAACAGGAATATTCTCTAAAAACCTCAGCAGGAGTTTGATTGGATGCACACATGCATTGTCCAGCTCTAACATTGGAATGTTCTGTTATTTTTTTTTATGGTTCTAATATGTCCTCGTCCATTTGTAATGCAGTGTGTTGTACTTTTGGATGATAAAATGAGAATTAATATTTTTAAACACTATTTTACCAGGAATGAATGACTAAAGATGAACATGAAGGCATAAACATTTTAATGAAACTAAACAAAATCTATGAGGTTATTCCATGGCAAATAAAAATCAATTATACAATATATATTCCAATCAAAGCCTTTAAAATATGTAATTTTTGTTTTATGTTTACCTTTCAGATAATATAGGTTTGAGAAGTGAACTATGTGTTCACTACTCATTTTTGGACTTTTTATTATAACTTAACAGGTGGTTGTCTTCATCCTTTTATGCCTTCATTATTTATTTCTGATATTGATGTAAAATGATAACTAATTTGTTCTCCTGTTTTAGGGCTACCAGAGACCAAGTCACTACATTGCAACCCAAGGTAAAACTTTGCCTTATTAAATGTTACAGAAAAACGAACTTGCTTATTCATGTATATGGTGGGTTTTTTTTCTGGCTAGGGGGTGGATTTAGTCTTAGTAACTGAAAACCGTTAGCCCTTCTGATTAACACTGCTCATTACTCATTTGTATGGTACAATTTTTTATGTGTGTAAAGCTTATATAAATTTAATCTTGATTTAATTTTCAATTAAAAGTATAAAAAAAGCTACCAGTGGTTGTTATTAATCCTTGTTACACAGATATGTCAGAGCACTAGTCAATAGTGCCAGGCAGAGGAATTACTCATTTTTGAGGAAAGGAAAAAGAAGTCTCAAATAAGAGGCCTGTCTTCTTGCAGCAAGTTTTTTAATGGTACCCAAGACCAATATTGTTTCAATGAGATGTTATACTGAGCAATTTTTTGATAAGTCAAGACTGAGACAAAACAAAGAGCTAGAGGGAATTTAGTCAAGTTAATTCTTCTTAGAAAGTAAAAAGAAAGTAGGGAAACGTTCTTATAGTGGCACACTAGGGAATAAAAATATCAAAACAAAAAAAAAAGCATCTGTAGTTATCTCTCTAAATTGACTACTAGCCCTCAGAAGAGAAACCTGTACATCTATTTTATATAAAAGGAAAGTAAAACAAAAGCTAGGTTTACTATTTTGACAGGGGACATTTTTCTGTTTTTTCATGTATCTTTGGAGTACTTGAGTTCAGTTGTATACTCTTTACAATTAGAAAGATCATCCATAGTGGTTGATCTATGGTTGATATTCAATTTTATTGTATCCAGTAGAGAATAGCCCAGCACATGCTTCTGATATCCTTATGTGTAAGGATAAGTTTTTATTAATCCCTAAACATGCACTGTTTATAAATGGTGGAAATTTTTTTAATTGTTAATATATGCTGTCTGGTTAATGGTAGCATAAGAGTTTTATTTTTTTACTTATATTTGAAGATGCATTAAAGGGACTTAATGACAGATATAAATACCCAAGAAACTAGCGATAGCTTCTTCTAAATTGGGAAGTATAGAAGGCAAATTGAAAAAAATACATAAATTTATATATGCCTATGTTTTTGCCTATTGTGGGAATTTAGATATGAACTAATTTAAGTACTTTGAATGACATTTTTTATTAGACCTTTTTTTGGAATTTCTTAGTTTACTCTGTTTTTATATTAGCTAAACTTCCTACTAACTACAAAATTTCTTTGATAACATAATATTCAAATTAATTTCTTCATAGGTCCCGTTCATGAAACAGTATATGATTTCTGGAGGATGATTTGGCAAGAACAATCTGCTTGCATTGTGATGGTTACAAATTTAGTTGAAGTTGGCCGGGTAAGAGGAAGAAAACTATTTTTTTTTATCATAAAAATGAGTATGGTTGAAAAGCAACATATAGATATTTAAAATAGAATAGTATCCAATTGTTTTAATTACAGGCACAACATTTCAGTTGACTTCTAAGTAGACTTTGAATGGCTGAGAAATTATTTGATTTCTCATTGAGTAACAAAGTAAGCCTTAATTTTGTACTAGAATCTAATTGCATTATCAGGCTTGTGAATTTTTTGTTAGACTATATGAACTCTATTGTATAATAGATTTTTTTCTCATGTATAGATTTTTTAAATAAGTTTTAATTGATCCAAAGAGTTATTGCTGGAATTAAATCATCTTGGCTAATTAGTATTATGTATTCACACCTATCTATGTATTCTTTTTGTTTCTTAGGTTAAATGCTATAAATATTGGCCTGATGATACTGAAGTTTATGGTGACTTCAAAGTAACCTGTGTAGAGATGGAACCACTTGCAGAATATGTAGTTAGGACATTTACCCTGGAAAGGGTAAGTACTCTAAAATTCTACTTTAAAAATTTATATCAAAACTGCTTTTTCTCTTAAAATCTTTTTCAAGTTCTGTTTTGATGATGCTATAAAATCCATTCATTTGTGTATTCATTCCACAGATGTTTATTTGAGAGTTTACTGTGTGCCAAACATGTTTCTAAACCTTAGGACACATGTTAAAATCTCTACTCTTGTGGATCTTATAGACTGTTGCATTAAGACAGCAATAAAAATAAATAAATCAACTGCTATATCATACATCCTGACAAGTGCTATAGAGAAAAATAATGTTGGAAAAGGAAGTAGGGAATATTATTGAGGCAGGGGAAGAAATGGCTTACAATTTTGAAAGGATGATCAAGGAAGAACTCATTGCTGAGAAAGTAATATGAGTAGAGACCTGAAGTAAGTGAGGGAGTGACAGGTTATGTCCAGTGACAGGTAATAAAGTTTCTGACAGAGGGAAGAGTCATTTCAGAATCCTGGAGACATCTATAAAGCTGTTAGAATGCTAGACAGTCAGCAGGCCAGGATGTTCAGAGATCGATAAGTGAAGGGCAAAGAAATACAAAATGAAGGCAGAGAAATCACAAAATTGGATAAGTGGTGCCTTGTAGGCTACGATGATTTTAGTTCATACTAAAATTGAGTTAGGCTGCCGTTGCAGGGTTTGTGAGCCCAGGAATAACATGATCTGAATTTTATTTCTAAAAGGATAATTAAAGGTGTTATATTGCAAATAATAAGGTGGAGTGGCCGGTATAGTAGACTGAAGTGGAACATAGTAACAGTGAAATACATTTTGTGGTAAAACTTGGTAGATTTGACCACACAAAAGTGTGAAATTACCTGTGGCCAAAAAACATCAAAGGTATATACACACAAAAGAACCATGTGAATATTTATTAATGTCCTTAATTTATAATGCTAATACCAGTAGAAGGGAAAACACTAGAATCTCTGAAGAAACACAGCTGTTAGCATGCCTATTAAAATTGTTTAACCTAGTGTACTTACATACCATTTTGTCCTTTCAAATCAGCAACAACTTTAAAAAAGAGTAATAATCCTCATTGATTGTTGCAGTGTGTTGAAACATATTTTTATACATTACTCATCATAGTTAAATCACTACAAACCCTCTGTAAGTCAATAAAACAGTGTATCTCCAGAGCTTTAAAATATTGATGTTCTTTGAGAAGTTAACTTTCATGAGTCTTTCCTAAGGAATTTACTTAAAATACAATGACTTCATTTATAGTATTAGAAAATTATAGATAACCATACACGTCTAGCAACAGCGAAATAGTTCAATAGTATTTTACAAAAATATTTGTAAGTTATTCTACCAACACGAAAAATAATTAGATGAAATATTAAGCTGAAGGTAGCATTATACAGAACAACACAATCATGATTATTATGACTATAAATATATATGAAAAATTCTTAGACAAATCAAGTAGAATAAAATAGGCAATCGATATGGGAGATTTCAGAAAGAATCATTAAGTTTAATTGAATGAATAACTAGATCATATTATTAAAAAGAAAATATGGAATATGCAGTCTCTTAAGTTTATACAAGTCTTGTAAAAATCAGTGATGAACTTAGTAATAAGGAAAACCTGAATACATAACAAAAAGTTTAGATATTTCAAAAATCCAATAGAAAGCAATAATAAATCACAGACCAATGACCCCAGAAAGTAGCCTCTTAGAAATTGCCCCTTCCAAATAATCCTTGAATGAATTATTTCCTCAAAACTAAAATTACATTGTATAGATCAACCGTTTTATATCAAAATTTACCTCATTATTCTATAAGAAAAATTTATATCCCTAAGTAATTTCTGTTTTGAAATATGCTTTGAAATCATGTGAAAAATTATAAAATTGGAAAATCAAAAAAAGTAGAACAAAGGAAAAATTAAATATAAAAAAGAGACAAATGAGAAAAAAATTTAAAAGCTTGTTTATTGAAAAGATCACTATCTAAACCACTATCAATTCTAAATGAGGTAAAATTAAAACAAAACATACAGTATTAGAAAACACAGAGGGACAGAACTGTTATATTTGCTACTAGAAAAGCTATAGAAAATATTATGTATAAACATCGAAATAAAAATTTTAATCTAGGTTAGTGATTTTCTAGCAAATACTAATTCTCAAAAATTAGTTCACAAAGAGTTAGAAGCCGGAATAGATGCTAGAAGAAAACAGAACAATTGTTAAACTTTATCATTAAAATTGCACTATGGGTTTAAAATTGAAGTTCCTTTATCCTTTAAGGAATAGCTAATGTCTATGTTATTCAAACTATTTAGGCCATAAAACAATTAAAACCAAAATATGTTTTAAAAGTCAGGATAATGTACTTGGAATGCTGAAGCAAGAGAATCATCCGAGCCCAGAAGCAGAGGTTGCAGTGAGCCAAGATGTTTTCACTGCACTCCAGCCTGGGCAACCGAGGGAGACATTGTCTTTTAAAAAAACAAAAGCATAATGGTGATAACAGAATCAGATAACATAGCACTCTCTCAAGCTCCCATTCTCTCTTTCATAATCTCTTCTCTCTCTCTCTCTCTCTCTTTCTCTCTCTCTCTCTCGCTCTCTCTCTCTCTCTCTCTGTCCCTCTCTTCTCCAAGCACACACATTGCAGACCAATTTCATTCAAGAACATGAAAAAATTTAAAATATAATATTGAAAATTTGGATCTAGTAGTGAATTAAGAAAATATCACTAAGTGACATATTATTTTTTCCCCTAAGAATACAATAATATTTCAACTGTAGTGGAAAATCTAACAGGATATTTCATTATGTCAGTACCTTAAAGGACCAAAACTATATGACTTTATTAATAGATTAATGCATTTAATTTTATTTTTTAAATATTTACAGTAATACTCTAATTAGGGAAATAAAGAAGCATCCTAAACATGATAAAGGTAATTCAACATTACCTAGTAGCAGTCATGTTGTGGAATGAAGAACTAAAGACTATTAGTTTATCATAAAAAAACTAGTATAAAGACTATATCATTGCTTTTACAATCAGGAATGTTATGTGGATAATCAGTCTCACTAGTTTTCAACATTTCTGGAAGTTTTAGAAAATAAGGCAGCAAAAGGAATAAACTGTGTAACTACTAGAAAAGACAAATTATTTTAAGATAAAAAGATTTTATACCAAGAAAACTAGAGATAACATTTTTAACTGGAATGTATAAACATTTATTTAAATGACTAAATCAGCATAAATATTCATAAGTTATAGCTTTCTTTATATTGGTGACAAACAGAAGTAAGAAAATATCACTAAGTAATCTTTAAAAATAATAAAAAGTGCCAAAATATCTCAGAATGTATTTAATAAGAATTACACAATTCCTGACTGAATAAAAACACAAAAGTGTACTTATGGATACACATAATGTATGAATGAGTGGAGACCTGCGCCATGTTCCAGAATATGGGAGTACTTGATATTAATAGCACTGTATGGATTTAATACAATCCTGTTTGGAACATCATTGGATTTTTATTTTTCTTGTTATTTAGAACTAGAAAATAGAGAGTTTTTTTTTTAACCATATATCTGAAAATCACTCAGATAAAAATTTTTTAAAAAAAAGGAGAATAGGCACTGACATATAAAATGTACTAAAACAGGCAAATCCTAAACATGTAATAGAAAGATAAAGGGAGCAAGGCTCATCCAGCAACTCCAGTAAAATAATTAATATAGAAGGAGTAAAGTAATTGTCTAAAGTCAGGCCTCGAAACTGTTTTTGACCTTCCTCACTAGAGTTGAGAAGTAGAAAAAAGGTGATTTTTCCACTGGGGTGATTTCATGGTGATGCTTACCATTGTGACTATTACAAATGCTTGTTGATCCCTGCTTTGTGTAGGGTATTGTGCTAGGAATTGGAATTAAGAAAACGTTTAAGAAATGATCGCTGACTTCCAAGGTTTTGGTGATACTGGTCTGTATAAGATTGAATCTAAAATTAAACTGTTTTTCTCAATTTTGTCTATTTCATGTAATGTGTCTACCTTTTCTGATCGAACAAGTGAGATTGAGATTTCACAGATAGCTCACAGTAGAATTTGAATTATACAGATTATAGTGGGATTTGTTTTCCTTTTGCTACAAATGTAAATTCTTAAAAATAAATTCTGCAATATTTCATCTATACCTTCCAAGCTGTGCTACCTCAGTCTACAGACTTAACAAAAAGAAAGGAAAAAGCTTTGAAATGTGCATTTACAGGGCTCTCTTAACCCAATAGAAGAGCAGCAAACAGCAGATGCTTCACTTATTTCATTTTGTATTTTTGTTACTATAAATAATACTCTGTGCTGAATTATTTCACAGAGCTAAGAAAAATAGTTTGCCCAAAGAACAGTTTAGCTGCCTGTATATTTTCACAAGCCAATCTAGAGCAGCACTGTCCTGGAAAATCCCTACATGCTATGCTTCAAAACCATTTTCAACATGGATAAGCAAGGCATTAAAATCTCTTTGTGAGGTGAGAAGCTGGAAAGTTGCTTTTATACAGCACTTGAGAACTCAATACTTTGGGTCAATAGGGCAGCATTTTAGTTTTCCCGTTTCCTTCTTTTCCCCTAATAATTTAATGTGTTGTCATTCCCAGCGAGAAACAAGCTGTCAAAGTAAATAAAATTTATCCAGACTTTTAGAACTGAGCAAGACTTCTAATTTTCTTTTGTTTGGCAGTTGTCAGACAATAAAGGTAAGCTCCTAATCCACGTCAGGCCTTCATTTTTTTTATTTTTTAAGAAAAGACGTCATCTTTGGTAAAGTTTGTATTGTTATCATTGTCAGTTGGGTCTGTGCCCATAATTGTGTTTAATGGCTTTATTTTGGCCATGAAAATGGCTTTTGAAAACATTTCTTTCCATCTTTGCACAGAGGGGATACAATGAAATCCGTGAAGTTAAACAGTTCCATTTCACGGGCTGGCCTGACCATGGAGTGCCCTACCATGCTACAGGGCTTCTTTCCTTTATCCGGCGAGTCAAGTTATCCAACCCTCCCAGTGCTGGCCCCATCGTTGTACATTGCAGGTGAGTGGTGGTCCAAATGTGTTCACTGTATCCAATCAGCTTTTTTTAAGAGTGTCAAGACAAGGCTTTTGAGCATAAAATCTAATGTTGCTTACAAAGTTCCAGCTTGCTTGTAGTACAGATGAAGCAAAACAGCAATAAAATAAAAGTTGGCTGTAAGTAGGCTATAAAACAGGAACTTAAGAAATACGTACATTCATCTTAATGTGTGTAGTGTTACCCACAATTTAAAGTGTAGAAACTGTGCTTTTAGTGGCAACATCTGTGTTTTTTGTTTTTTGTTTTTATCACTTTTGCGAATCCCATATTGTATAGAATGCTAGGTTGAAATAGACATTTCTTGTCAATCTAGAAAATTCCCAACAGAATTTCAGCTTTTAAAACTAAATTTGAGACATACAGAGTCACTAAATGGACTAAATTGCAAGAATTTGTGCTATAAAACAGCAATTTAATTTTTTTAAAGACTTCACATTAGAGGACCTTGAGAACTGCATCAGTGAGATTCAGCAAATATATGCCAAAAAAACACAAACATTATATCCAGACTTACTTCTGATTAGAAACTTCTCTTAAAACAAGCATTTAGAGATTCTAAAAGCAAATTACATGGGCTCATTTTGAGGTGTGACCAGAAAAATAAGTACTGAATCTGAAAAGCTTTCCCTAAATGATGCTGCACACCATTCTCAAATGCTCTTCTCTCCAAGCTACATAATAGGTTGTAATTAAGCATTTTTTGCTTTCTGGAAATCTAACCTATTCATGATTTAGATAACCATGTATAAAAGGGAAGAGGGAAGCAGAGAATGAAATAAAGGTAAAACATCCCATAGGATCAGATGATATGTACCTTGAAAACCAAACAAAAAATTCTTCCTTTCAATCCTCCTCATGAACTCTGATGTACTCATCAATTACATTCCTGTCTCCTGGGAACTGTGATTGAGAAGATGGTAGGGGACAAAAATAAATGGAGACAGCTACAATATTTTTTGCTTAAATTTCTAAAAGAACGGTGAGTTTAAGAGAAGTGACCAAATCTGGATAACAAGGAAATAATGTTATTAGCCTATCTAACCACTTAGAAAATGAGATAAATAGGTTTTCAGTTTAGGGATTTTTTGATTTATCAGAGATGTTTACTTTCTTATGAATTGCTTGCTTCAGAAGTGCTCCAAGATTCTCAGATACTGTCTTGAAACAGAAGTGTCATTTTCCACTTACACTGAAGCATCTCTGGATTACGAAGTGAATTCCTCTCTCCTCCCAAAAAACCTTTATTTTGTTTTCTCCATTGACTTCTATACAGAAAATTGAAAAAACATTCCCCAGAGGTAAAATAATCACAGTATATTATGATTAAAGGATACAAAGCTACAGTGCAATAAGGGAATACATTTTAAGTGTTCTATATCACTGTAGGATTACTCTAGTAAATGATAGTGTTTAGCTTGAGAGAGCTAGAAGGAGGATACTGAATGTTCACAACACAAATGATACATGTTTGAGAGGATGCATATGCCAATCACCCTTTTCTGATCACTATACAGTATATGCACTGAAACGTCACTACGTACCCAAGAATATGTACAATTATTATTTGCCAATTGAAGACTAAAACATAATGTTCTGAAAAGTATTTTTAAAAATTAACTTTAGAATTAAATATAGTGGGATAGTGGCTAGCCTTGTGACTTGCTGGAAATCATATTCTATAGCTAACAATCATTTTCCTTTCGCTTCCGATCATGATTCAAATAGTCTTTATACTGTTAACTCTCCTCCCCTTTGATAACCATCATTCTCTTGTCCACCCTCACCATTTGCATTTCCTGTGAATCATGGCTCCTTAGATTTACCATTTAAAGGTTTGAGAATTAATTTTTTTTGTGTGACTTGGTATTTACAAGAAGCAAAAACAGCGAGTGAGCCAACATTGTTGCCAGAGGACACACACCTAGATGAATATAAAAATATTCAACCTGGAATTAAATTTTGAAGCATAAATCTGCCACTTGATCAATTCTATGAACTTGAAATTATGTGTGTTAAATTTACATAAAATGAAAATTGTGAGAGAGGTATGGAACCTGAACATTATTTTCAATTTGAGAATAATTTGGAACTCTTGTTCCAATCTTTAGCTTATACCAAATCAGATATTCTGCATGAAGTTACTTGTACATTAATAAGTTTTTACACAGCATGGACAAGTGCTGTGTCTTGCGCTTTGTCAAATCAATTTGATTCTACCTGTCTGACTGTGGAAAAGGTCCTTATTTAAGGTTATGAAGGCTAACTAACATGCTTCTTACAATTGTTTTAATTCTTTTCAGTGCTGGTGCTGGAAGAACTGGCTGTTACATTGTGATTGACATCATGCTGGACATGGCTGAAAGAGAGGGTGTTGTTGATATCTACAATTGTGTCAAAGCCTTACGATCTCGTCGTATCAATATGGTCCAGACAGAGGTATGTAGATTTACCTGTAGTGGACTTTTTTTTTTTTAATACAAACAAGCAAGAGTAGATGTCTTTCATATATACTCTACTCAACCAAAAGAGTAGATTTTTTTTCATATGTAATCAATATTAGCTCAGTCACATAGAAAAATATTGGTACTTTAATTCATATTTTCATATAGAGAAAATTTTCTGCATTCTCTACCTTTGATGACAGAAAAGTGATACTAAAACTAATACAAAATTTTCTTTATCGTTCTTTTGGTAGGAACAATACATTTTTATTCATGATGCCATTTTAGAAGCCTGCTTATGTGGAGAAACTGCCATACCTGTCTGTGAATTTAAAGCTGCATATTTTGATATGATTAGAATAGACTCTCAGACTAACTCTTCACATCTCAAGGATGAATTTCAGGTATTAACTATTTCTCAAACCTCTTTTATGACTTACTACATTTTGTTCTGGGTACTAGCAATCCTTTTTAGGAAGGTCTTTTAAGTCAAATTTATAACCTTTGATTCTGTTTTAAATATAATACATATCTCTTTCATTATACATATTATATAGTCACTTTTCTATTAATGAATTCATATGTACTATATCTAAAATAAGTTCAGACTTAGGGAAGGGCAAGAGGGAAAGGTATCATAAAAGTCAAAATTAGTGGTGATTTGTGTGTATTTATAGACTTTTTTTCATGCAGTCATACAGATTTTGACCCGTGTCACTCACAATGTGATTAGATCAAGCACATTAATTACAATAATTGAGTCCGGGTGCAGTGGTGGTTCTCACCTATAGTACTAGCACTTTGGGAAGCCAAGTCAGGCAGATCTTGAGGTCAGCAGTTCGAGACCAGCCTGATCAACATGGCAAAACCTCATCTACAAAAAAATTACAAAGAAATAGGCAGGCATGGTGGCACATGCCTGTAGTCCCAGCTGTTCAGGAGGTTGAGATGGGAAGATCGCTTGACCTTGGAAGGTAGAGGCACTGTGGTGAGCCCAAGATATCGCCACTGCACTCCAACCTGGGAAACAGAGCAAGACATTGTCTCAAAAAATAATAATAAATGAGGTTGGTAGTAAATACTATTTCAAAATAGCCCTAAATGTTTTTACTGCCCTTAAAACATCTCTGAAGGTGAGTGAAAATAAAATAAATAGCAGAGACCAAATTATTTGATTGTTGGCCCAGTGCTCTTTCCAACATGCCATAGCTTATCTTCAAATATGGTAAGCCCAGATGTTATTACACATGATACCGTTTCCCACTGTGATGAGAGTCATTATCATCATGGACTTCCTGATTGTATTTTCTTTGGTCAAGGCAATGCATTTTGCACGTAGCAATGCTGTTTAGCTTCCCTTTTCCTTTTAAGAAGAGGAGCAATGTGTGTCTTGTTTCTTTTTCACTTCTCAGTCTTCATTAGCTTTAACCCAAAGTCTATCAGCCTGTCATAGTAGCAAATGCCATTGCCTTGCACAAATCCTTCACTTTCTACTTGGTCTAATAAATATCTGATGGATCTGTGTGATACTGTTAAATGGGTCACTGTCATTTAACCTGGGTTCCCTTTTCATTTTAGACTCTGAATTCAGTCACCCCTCGACTACAAGCTGAAGACTGCAGTATAGCATGCCTGCCAAGGAACCATGACAAGAACCGTTTCATGGACATGCTGCCACCTGACAGATGTCTGCCTTTTTTAATTACAATTGATGGGGAGAGCAGTAACTACATCAATGCTGCTCTTATGGACGTAAGAGACTGCCCTCTTTGTTAGTGTAGAGTGCTGTGAAAAGCTATGTAATGCAACTGAACACTAGCTAGTTTTCTTTTTGAGAATATTGAAATAACCTGAAAAGAAAAATGGAAACTTTTATGGAAATATATTTTTTGGAGAATGATTTTAGATTTTCCCTATAGGGATTTTTAAGAACTATCATTTTTATAGTTTTATTATAGATTTGGAGCCTGTCAGTTATTATATTCATAGAGTAAATATTACATCTTATAAATTTCATCTTATTTTCAGAAAAGAAAATCATGCCTATCTCTTTTGAATATAATTAGAAATGAATTTTTTAAAATCACAGAATGCCCAATCCTACAAAAATTGTGTTAATTTGGGAAATTTTTATTTCTGACATTTGTTTTCATAATTTACAACTAACTTGTTGGCCATTAATCAATAAAGACTATTATAAGTAACTAGAGAAGGGATGGATAGTATTGTGTTAACACATCCATCATAATGAAAGAACGATCTTGCCCCATTCTAGTCTTAAACTGCAGAGTGTTGTAGCCCATAGACAGAACAATATGGAAAGAAAGGCTTTTTGTTTGTTTGTTTTATTTTATTTTATTTTGACATGGAGTCTCCCTATGTCACCCAGGCTGGAATGCAGTGACACAATCTCAGCTCACTGCAACCTCTGCCTCCTGGGTTCAAGCGATTCTCCTGCCTCAGCCTCCTGAGTAACTTGGACTACAGGCACACACCACTAAGCCCAGCTATTTTTTTTTTGCATTTTATTAGAGATGAGGTTTCACCACATTGACCAGGCTGGTCTTGAACTCCTGACCTCGTGATCCACCCACCTTGGACTACCAAGGAAAGAAAGTTTTAAATTATGACTTTGACCACTTTACTTTGGTTACCTTGGAAAGAAGCAAGAAAACCATCAAGGTTTAGAATCATTTTAAAGAGTTTACTGACTTCATTTCTAGCTTTTGCCCTTTCTCCTATAAAACCATAGCAAGAAGAAATTAGAAGCCACGGTTCATTTCTTTCTGACTATAATCAGGCTTTCTAAGTTGTTGTTCCTATTAAGCTCACATTCTATTTCTACGAGTCGTCTTCACCAGTTACTTTGCTCTTTTTGGTGCCACAAAGTGGAATAGTCTAAAGGCAGCCTCTCATCCTTGCTGTGATCGCTCTTGCCTGTGAAAAGCTCTCATCCTTGCTGTTATCGGAGTCTTGCCTGGCCATTAATCACATCCACTTAAATCACATTAGATCCTAATTATACCTTTTCTTTTTATATTAGATGTCTGGAAAGGCAAATACACTAAATATACAGAGATGGTATACAATGCTTTTTCATTTCTGCATCTAGATATGGAATGAAAAAACACGTGTGAACAAGAAAAATAATATTTAGAAAAGCATTGATGCCTTTGAAATTTTTGCCATTGGCATCTTTGTCAAATTCTTCTCAATTTCCAGATTGTCTCCTTTTCTTTATTTTTCTTTTTGAGACAAGGTCTCACTCTGTAGCATAGCCTGGAGTGTCGTGCATGATCACAGCTGACTGTAGCCTCAATCTCCTGGGTTCAAATGATCCTCCCACCTTAGCCTACCAAGTAGCAAAGACTATAGGTGCATGCCACCATGCCCAGCTAATTTTTTTTTATTTTTTGTAAAGATGGGGTCTTGCTTCCTGTCCAAGCTTGTCTTCATTTCAGTATGAAGACTGAACCCTGTAATCCACCTGTTCTTACTGTCTGCATACTCCGCTGTGATTCAAAAAAGACATTTCATAGTTAAAGGTGTTCTGGGGATTTAGTAGTGCAAATGAACCTTCAGAAAAGTAAAGCTGGTTTGATCCTGTTTCTCCCTACTCTTTATCCCCATCATTAGTGTGATATCCTTTTGTCAGGCCTATGGAATATTAGGAGGTAAGGCCAAGGATTCTGTGATTTCAGAGCCTTACATATGTTCCTGCATTTAGAGAGAAAAAGAATCGTCTTCAGTCTTCTCTCTGATTATCAGCTCCTCCTCATGTGTGTCCCCTCCACTTTGAGTCAAAAAATGAATAAATAGCCATTAGTCTGCTTTGACTTACCTTTCCATGGAGCAGACATTTAATTGGGAAGAGCGCTTACTTTCTTCTAACTTTTCTCACTGTATTAGTTCATTCTCACGCTGCTAATAAAATTGTACCTGAGATTGGATCATTTATAAAGGAACGAGATTTAACTGACTCACAGTTCCACAGGGCTGTGGAGGCCTCAGGAACCCTGCAATTATGGCAGAAGGGGAAGCAAACTCGTCCTTCTCACCGCGGCAGGCAAGGGGAGGAGTGCCAAGCAAAAGGGGAAGCCCCTTATAAAACCGTCAGATCTCATGAGAACTCACTCACTATCTCAAGAACAGCATGTGGGAAACCACCCCATGACTCAGTTATCTCCACCTTGTCCTGCCCTTGAGCCTTTGGGGATTATTACAATTCTACATGAGATTTGGGTGGGCACATATAGCCGAAAAATATCGCTCATGAACCTTCGTACCTTTCTTAGGAGGCACTCATCCCAGCAGCACGTGTAACTTGGTAAGGTCTTGAGGTCATTTAGAAGTAGGAAGGTAAGTTATTTTTGTCATCTACTCAGATTTATCCTGCAGTCTTCAGCAGGATGGAATGCTGTGGTTAGCAGCATTTCCCAAATGATGGTGGCATCAGTGAAGCCCAAGAACCAGTTCCTGTGCTGATGTTAATTAAGATTCTTGAACAACTTAAATAGTAGTACGATACAAATGAGTTATAAAATCATTGAAAATTTTCATCAACATTAGGGAAACCTATCCCAGGCTACTGTCTAATTATTATTATTGTTGTTGCATATAATTAGTTTAAATCAAATGACATTGTCCAGTCCAAATAAACATTGCTTTTACATTTCTCCCTTTGGGAAGAGATAACATATTGTGTTCTGATTAAGGAGCACATGGTAAACAAGGAGCTATCTCTCCACTTTGTGGGGCCAGGAAGTGCATTGTTATTCTTTGGTGCTTTGAGATCTTAAATGGTTGAAACTGTCTTTCTGAACTTTGGTATATATTAGAAATGCCCAGGAAACTGTGGGAGGTGGATTGCCTACAAGATGTGCAGAATATCCTGATAATGTCCACATAATGTAAAAGTATAAGTGTTTGAGCTATTTGTGGTTTTTCTTATTTGTAGTAGAGAAGAATAAAACTGTTTTACTTGCAGGCACACACACTATACACATGCAGGAATGATTGATAGACATACCAGGGGTTTTGTGCTTACTTTGCCTTCAGCCTCTCAGAGACTGATTACGTTTGGAAAATTGAAATAGCCCAAAAGGTACCTTACAGAGGATGTTAACCTCAGAAGCTCTTTAGTTTCTTCTTTTGTATTTGTCCTGTATTTACGTCTTTCAGTAAAGTAAAAATTCAGTTATTGACTTGAATTGCTTCGGAGACATTGAAGTCTTCCACCAAATGGATTCATTACCATACTAGTTCAGTTCATTCCAGTGGCCTGAATCTCTTATTCCATGGTTTAAGCATCACTCTGGTTCCCTCTGCATGTGAAGCTATTCCATCTTACTGGTCCTACATTGAAGTGTTTTGAATCTGTTTGTACAACTGATCATACATTTTAAGTTCTTATGTTTCTCCATCTACCTTGTTTCTTCACAGAGCTACAGGCAACCAGCTGCTTTCATCGTCACACAATACCCTCTGCCAAACACTGTGAAAGACTTCTGGAGATTAGTGTATGATTATGGCTGTACCTCCATTGTGATGTTAAACGAAGTCGACTTGTCCCAGGTTAATGGCTATGGGTTGCTTTTGTGCACTTATAGACAAGTTAATAAAGTAATAATGAAATGCTAAAACCTACTTTATACTATCCTAATTAGAAAAAATAACGCTCTGTTTTTTTCCTTTTAAAACATTCATCATCTAGGGCTGCCCTCAATACTGGCCAGAGGAAGGGATGCTACGATATGGCCCCATCCAAGTGGAATGTATGTCTTGTTCAATGGATTGTGATGTGATCAACCGGATTTTTAGGATATGCAATCTAACAAGAGTAAGTCACTACTGGATCCTTTGAGCTCATCTAGAATAGGTCAATCATAACCAAGATGTGTATAATTTCATTCAGATAACAGGGAGACTAGAATTAATAAGCACTATATAATCCACTTTAAAGCTAGTAACCATCTTATGCCTTAGTACTTAAACAAAAATACAGGAACGCAGAAATGCTGGAGGCTAGGTTTTTTTGGTCAGTCAGTAGACTAACATATTCCCTCTGGAGATATAGATGCACTGTCTCAATGAAGTTTGATAGCCTCGGCCTGGCCTCTGAGTGTGTGTAGATTTATCTTAAGGATGACTTCATACTTTATTAGTATTGACATCCAGCCCAGAAATGGTGTGTAATCAAAAAATAAGAACACTGCAATAACAATAAAGACAGAAAAGCTGTACTGCAGGAGGAAAGAGAGAGATGTTGGATCAGCCATTATGTAGAAGCATTCCATGTCACTGTTCCAAGCTCATTATTGATTCTTCTACCTGCAATTTCATCTCCCTAAATGTCCAAACCTCTGGCTCTACGCACATCTAAAGGTAGAACCAGTGCTGCTACCACAGTGCCTTTTCCCAGCAGTAACGTAGTAACTGTATTTCTCAGAAGTCTTTCTTCCCCTGACTCCTCATCTGCTTTCCATTACATGACAAATTAAATTTGGGTGGGGAAGATCTTTAAAAAAAGTACTAATAAAAATGATTTAGATTATATAACCAAATAGCAAGCAGAATTTGAAAAGAATTAGTAACTTTCATGGAATTAAGCTCTTTTTTAGAGAGAAAGATTACTCTGTTTTTAAAGCACCAGCTCCATGGGTGTGTATTATTTTGAGTGTGTGATTAGGACAGTCGTGTTTCAGTGTCTCTCATATCAAAATGACTACATGTGCGTCTGGTTAGTAAGTCTGTATGTATATAGCTATGAGCAGGGAATGAAATCATATAGACTCCTATTGCTCATTTCAGTGGAGAAAAAAAGGATAACTTCAATCATCTCATAATATTCATGCATATCCTAGATGTTAATTTAAATGGAATCTCATTATGTCTGCACATCTGTTACGTTATAGTTCTAGTAATATTTTAGTTAAAAAAAAAAAACAGAGCTGCTGAAGACAGTAAGGCTTGTCAATTGAGCAGTTTTTGTGAAAAAATATTCTAGGAATGGGAGCTGAAATGTTACATTTTTCTCAGCATATTTATTTATTTGTTTGCTTACTTATTGAATTGCCTCAGTATTGGATATTCTTGTCCTTATTAGTACATGATGTTTTTTCCGTTCTCACTCTCATCATTTAGTATATTTAATATATTTAACATGTACCAGGAACAAGTCTGTGGAGTACTAAGTAGGGCTTGTAAAGTACCAAAAGATGCATAGGCCCTTGTCAGTCTAATGTGATTTATTCATATATTTCATATTCCTCCTGATATTTTTATTTAAGGTTTAAGGTTTTGATTCATTCTTTCAATGATACCACTTTTTGGGAAGTATTATGCAAAGTTCTACTGATACAGAGTGCAGGAAAAAAAGATTTCTGCATACTTAAGGAATCTTCATTTTTGCAGGAAGGAAAGCATTAAACAAAAGTTACGTAATCCTTTTTGTAAAAAAGTGATGCATTTTACAGCAAAAAAGTAAAGAATATAGAATGCTTAACTGGGGGATCTGACATGGCTATGTGATCAGAGATGACTTCTTTCAGATAATAGTATTTAAGCCAAAATTTAATGAATCAATAGAAATTAGTTTGGGGGTTGAGGTAAACAATCATCTTGGTTTGCCAAGGATGGGAGCTTTCCCAAGACACACAGACTTCAATGCTGAGACCAGAGAAGTCCCAGGCAAACCTGGGACAAGTTGGACATTCTATTTGGGATTGAGAAGAGCAAGCAAGAAAGAAGTATTCAAGGCAAAGGGTACAGTATATACAAAGTCCCCAAGGCAAGAAGTGACTTAATAAATGGATTAAAAGAAGACCAAGAGAAGGTTGAAGAAAGGGGTAGATCCAGATCACATAAAATTTTTTAAGCCGTGACAACAATTTGGATTTTATGCTAAAATCATTTGAAAGCCATTAAAGCAGGAAATGACAAGATTGCATTTGCATTTTCAAATAATCATCATGCCTATATGGATTGGAAGGACATCAAAGTTTATTCAGGGAGATCAACTAGGAAGTAATTATCAGAACCTGTGACTGGTAGTGCATTGATGTCAATGATGATAAAGAGAAGGCAATGAATCTGAAAGTTATTTAGGAAATGTAGTCATAGAAATGAATTACTGAATACATAGTGTGAGGGAGAAGAAGGTATAAAGGATGATTGCTGTTTCCTGCTGTTGTCACTTAGAATGTTTTTGTATTAGCATGTACATATTTAGGATATATATCAGCTAGACTCAATCCAATGTAAATGTCATTTGTGTTGTAAATTGTCTGCACCTTTTACTTTTTAGTAAAAATTGTAGTCCCAACTTATTAACATAAAAACACTTTTCCCTCTACAGCCACAGGAAGGTTATCTGATGGTACAGCAGTTTCAGTACCTAGGATGGGCTTCTCATCGAGAAGTGCCTGGATCCAAAAGGTCATTCTTGAAACTGATACTGCAGGTGGAAAAGTGGCAGGAGGAATGCGAGGAAGGGGAAGGCCGGACGATTATCCACTGCCTGTGAGTAGGGCGGCTCAGCCTGGCATTCACGGGGCCTCCGTGCTTATTTTCTCATTTTCAGTGTTAAAGACTATCTGACTTGCACCTTATGGGCCTCCCCTAGATGTTATTTTTAAACAGTCTTCCTGTCTTATCAGTCTATAATTAAGTTTATTTTGTATAATTTCTAAATATTATTACATAGCTATATTATTTAGACTCCTTGGAACACTACTCTGAACAACTTCTGATTTACACAGTTTACAAGTGTATCAGAATCTCAAGGTCTAGATTGCAACAATTTATGCCTATAGCATATTCCTAAGTGTAAGCCACTGATCTAATCTCATCCTCAAGTTTCCTTCTCTCTGCCTTGTACACATATAAAGCAAAATTAAGACACAAATGGAAAACAATTAAAAATACAATCTTTTGTTTTCCCAAACATACGTGATGGTGTGACCTGTGGTCACCTGGTGCTGCTGTCTAAAAATGCCTTTGCTTTCTTTGCTTTCAGAAATGGTGGTGGACGAAGTGGCATGTTCTGTGCTATTGGCATTGTCGTTGAAATGGTGAAACGGCAAAATGTTGTCGATGTTTTCCATGCGGTAAAAACACTAAGGAACAGCAAGCCAAACATGGTGGAAGCCCCGGTGAGTCACAGAACATTAGACTTGGAAGGCGTCTTAGAGATTAGTTAGTCATATACCTACTTATTGATTTGACTTCACAGACACATAGGGAATCAGATGTGAAAATGAGACGTTACCGGGACTTTCCTGCCTATTTAATGGATTGCTGAACATCCCTCTCTACCCACAGACAATCACATATCACATAAACTGCTAATCATGAAACTAATTTCATTTAATATGGGAAATTCACAGGATTTTTTTTTCTGTTATAGCCAATAAATATTTGCTGCAGTAAACTTTGGTAAATGGTCCTATAAGAATAAATCCTGTATCAAGTATATGTCTAAGGGATATAAGTTTCATCAGTACCTTAGATACCAGTGTTTTTAAAGGGCAACTGAAATTTAGTTTTGTCATTATCTATAATTCTTCATTTTCTGATCAAATTATAAATGGTTAAACTATCATTGTTAAGGTTTCAGCTTTTACCAACTGTAGAGGGCAGTTCGTATCATGCTACTTGAGCTTGTCAAGGCTCATAAAGTCAGAACATAGCTTAAAAATAAGATCTGATAGATATGTGTGTGTGACAGTTCATATAGGTGAAGCTGTGTGCAGAGTAAGAAAGCAAGTTACACTTATCTAACACATTTTACTTCTAAAAAGAGATATCTGTGGGTTAAGTGTATGTATGTGCATGGTAGGATCAGGTTAGGAGCACCTGTGTAATTTATGTTCACAGAAAAGTAAACCAGAAAAACCAAGGCATCATTGTTGCTTGCCCTACATTTATCAAGATGATCAGATAACTAGAATGAGCAATTCAATAAACCTTTAAAGTATTTCACCACTTCCTGCTCATGGATTGCTCACACAAAAGTTGCATTGCTTCCTGAGACAAAATCTGAAGACTTAGGTTTATACTGTTTCACTTTTACAAGCGGTACCAGACTTTCACCCTTTCTACAGGTGCCCTTAAGCTCCATCTCTGGGTTGTTGCAGCTGTCTACACAAGACTACATTGGTTTTGACGGGGGTGCTGGCTGTGGAGATGAGAAAGGGGGTTGAATTGGAGGGAGTTTTTGAGGTAGAACTCTCAGATCGTCTTAGCAAATGAATGAATAGTGGTTATGTCTTTAAACTCTTTTCGGTTTGAAGATTTCTTGATGTAAACTCTGCCTCCATTTTTCAGATCAAGTCTTAAAATCATCAGTGGGATCACTTCTGACTGCAGAATTCAACTTGTACCTCCAAATTTAACTGATTTCCCACCTTTTTTAATAAAAATAAATAAATCTATGGCTAAACTCTGCAATTCTGGAACCTTCCAAAAAGTTACTATTTTCTTTACATTCATGTCTCGTGAATCCTGAGCACCCCTCCTCTGATTTGTGTTTAGTCAGTGTTGGTGATTAATCTAATGGGCTATGGAGTTGAGCTGACAGGTTTGGTGAGGAGATTTAGAATGTAGGCAAAATTACTGGAGACTGTTTAAAGAGACATAACTATTTTGAGGCACATTTTGGTTCCTTGAATGCACTCCTACAGTGGTAGGTGAATTTGAAACATACCTACTTGGTAAATAGTGTTGGAATGATAAAGACCTCTTAAGGAAAGTTTTATTGCCCTAGTTTATTGCTGGAGACACCTGGAACTTCTCTTCTAAAATAATATGCATTTTAGACTGTTCTCCAGCCTGAATTTTACCCACTTGAATGAACTGAGTTGGGAATTTTTTTAAAGAATTACATATTGTAAGTAATAATTTATGATATGGTCTCTGCATTTTTCTAAAATCTTATTATGAAGCAAGTCCATAGATGAGCTTAGAGAAAAGGCAGTCTTAACTCAAAAAGTGTATTGCCATTATGTTGTCTTAAACATATATGGCAGCAGAAATAAATTTTCAGGCACAAGCAGGTTCAAAATTTAAAAACCACTAACCATTCTTGAAAATTGTCCTTAAATACTCTGATGGAAGAAAACAATGCCAAAAATTAAGAACTTGAAATTGTGTAAATGGCTGTTTAAAATGGCTGGCTTTTTTTTCTCAAGGAAATTGTCTGAAATATATGGAGAAAAACATTTGCTGTTGATCACTGTAACATTATAAAATAGAGAAAAAAAATAAAAGCAACTTAATAGTCAAACAGTCCATATGTTTGATTTTTATGTGGTATTAAAAGATGTTAAATAACATGGAAAAAGAATTGTGACAATGTTAAATTTTAAAAGTTACATTTTAAATTATACTTTGAAATATACATAGTTATATTTATTCTAAGATAATTATTTCAACCATGCACAAAAAGAACTGAGCCAAACTAAGGTGATATTTTAACAATTTCTTCTGATGATAGAATTATAGCTCTTTTTCTCGTTCGTTATATTTTTCTGTGCTGAAGAATTGTTCTGTAATGATCAAGTATTACTATTATAATCAGATAAAAAATTCTAGATATTTAAAAATTGATGGAAAATATGAGGCAAAGATAAAATGTCTTTTTAAGATAAATTTCCTTTTTCTTAAATGGATCATTAGACTCAAGAATAAAATATGTATGCCTAGATATTAATCTTGTATATAGAAAAAATAAATTGTAATCCTTGAATAATCTAAATTGATTGTCAAGTTTCATTTGGCAACTATTAATCACCATTAGTCTCTTTCTTAACTTTTCTCAGTCTTTGGGTTTTGATATCTTTCAGGAGCAATACCGTTTCTGCTATGATGTAGCATTGGAGTACCTGGAATCATCTTAATTGGGTGAGACTCTTTAAAGTGCGTCCACGAGGAAACCTGTTCGTCTATTGAGCCAGCAGCTGTTGTACCTGTTACACTTGTGCAGAAAGATTTTAATGTGGGGGGTGGGAGACTTTTACATTTGAGAGGTAAAAGTATTTTTCTTATGAAGTTGTGTATCTTAATAAAAAGGACTTAATTAGTTTTTATTACTATATTAAAGCATCAACATTTCATGCCACATAAATTATATTTAATAAGAACCAGATTCAAATGAGAACTTATTGGTGTTTGTACAGTGAACATGCCACCTTTTCTCTTGTGGTTTCAGTAGAGCAGCTACCACATGTTGCATGAGTTCATACTTTCTATGTGGCATTTTTCTCCCTTTTTAAAATGAAAGCTGATGAATCTTAAAAGGAAAAAGAAAAGAAAAGCTGTGCAAATTCATAGTAAAGTTCATTTTTTATATGTTTCAAGTGTAGCAGATCTCTATATAAATATATAAATATATATAACTGGCTTATTTTCTTTTAATGTGCAATGATGGCTGGATCATTTAAAGTTCTTTTTAGAAAATAACATAAGCCAAAGACTCAAGTGTAAATATGTCTATATGGAGAAAGCACATTATATTTATTGGTTACCTACATTCCTTTTTTGATGGCTAAAATACTACCACCACACAATCATCTTTTTTTTCCTTGAAGAAAGCTTTTTCTTTAGCTGAAATCAGTTGTAAACGATTTTTGTAGATTATTTTTTGTATGTTTTAGTGTAAGTAGAGGATAAACTTTTTATTCATAAACCAGGAAACGATGTTCTTTATAGTGTTTCTCTTGTGTACATGCTTGTGAATTAAATTTGTGTAAAATCCCTTGGCAATTGGTCTTTTAATATAGGACCAAATTAAAACATTTTGCTGAAAATGTATAGTTTTTCACAATTTCATTACATAAATAATGGTTTGGTGATCATACATGAGAAATGTACACATTAAAAGGCCTTGCTGACAACTTGCACAAGGTTGAACATGACCTTTAAGCATCATTTAAATTTTAAAGGAATTGATTTTTTCAGCGTGTGGCCCATCGCTGGTCAAGAAAACAAGATGGCAATATATATGCTTTCAGGGTCAAATTTTAGCAAACTGTAAACTGTCAGGGTGATAAAATGTTCCTCTTGATGTTTACATGCACAAGCTTTGGGTTCTGACTATAAAAAGTGTGAACAAATCAATGCCAGATTCCTGTTTTGCGCATTGTCATGGGATTCTTAAGTGAACCTTTCTAAACGTGGTCTTGTTCACATGCTCTATGTAGCTGTAACTTCACATCATCAGCTTGCAGTTTGTAATTGACTAAAGCATTCCAGTGTCCTCTTTCTAGATTGCCAGTTCATGACATGGTGCTTATAAAGATTTAATTAAAGTAAGAATGAAATAAAGTTTTTATAATGATCATAGTTACTGTTTGCACATCATTTTTTCCTCTTAATGTTCATGCCTTCAGCACTAAATGAATAGCTTATTTCTACACTCACTGATACAAGTAGGCCACAAAAACTCTATTCAAAGTAAAACTATTCTCCAAGCTCTAGTTTCTTTCATTTTTATTTTCTTAATTGAATGCCAAAATATCTAGTACATGGAGGTAGAAAAGGCCTGGAGATTGACATCATTTTTTGTTTGTTTCTATATTTATCCATCTATTTAATACGTGTTTTCTATTTATGTATGTCACTATCCATTTATGTAATATACATCTTACTTTTTCTTATAACAAACATGGCAAATAGTTCTTATCATCCCTATTTTACAGATGATGAAATGGAAGCTAATGAAAAGGTACATGATTTGTCAACAGATTCCTTCTTACTTAGAATCTATGTCTTTATCATTAAACACATTGTTTCCCAAATGTCACAAAGATAGACCAAAAAAAAATTAAAATTTCTTTTCTGCGGTTCTTCATCAGCTTTCTCTTAAAGTAGTATTATCCTCATGGGCATCTTCAATCTCCCATTTGCTATGTACTTTATTAGAAAACTTGTGTCTTTCTTTTGAAAAAATTCAGATAAAGCAACCTTTTCCTAGTAAAGCTGATTTTCATTTAATCATGGAGGCATTTAACAAAAAATCCACAAACTCACCCAAAATTTTTTTTACCCTGTTATGTTTACTGTGTTATCCTATAGAGGATTCTGTTTCACTGTGTGACCTCGACTTCATTTCTACTCACATGATTGTACCACACACCAGCAAAATCATTATGAGCACAACTGTCCACAAAGCTCAGAGATCTATGCAGCCCCTGAAATTCAAAAAACAATAGTTCTCTTTCTTTGCAACAGGAAATTAAAATGTCATGCTTGCTTTGTTTGGGCACCATAGAAGCCACTTTATCAGGAAACAATGGGAGAGGGGCTGCCTGTTATTCTCAAAACTCAAATTCAAAAGCTCGTTCTTTATATATCCTTAAGGGGCTCCCCAAGTAGCCTTAACTATGCTTTCCCAAACCCCCAGCCATGCCTCTCTGGGCAGATGTCCTGACAGAGCTCTACATGCCTTTCATTAGTTTATGGCTTCCTATTCCTAAATTAGTTATTTCTTAAACTGCTGTCATGTAGTTGAATTTTATAGACCTCCTTTCTATAATTATCACTAAGGAAATGTTGGGCCGGGCGCGGTGGCTCACGCCTGTAATCCCAGCACTTTGGGAGGCCGAGGCGGGTGGATCACGAGGTCAAGAGATCAAGACCATCCTGGTCAACATGGTGAAACC